TCCGATTATGAAGTGTATGATACAACTGCAGAAACCATAACTTCAAAATCAAACGCGTTGAAATATGGACCAAGCTACGAAACGTCGACGATCGAGATAAGTTCGACACCAATGATGGATAATTCAGAAATAAATGAAATCTCGGAGCAGCATCGTAATGTAAACAATATTAAGAGGTTCGTGAATTCGGAATTTTCTCCCATCAGTGAAGAAAATTCCAATAACAGCGATATTGTCGACAATAACAACATTGTAGAACAAAAGTTTTTTCGTGCCGAATCACCAGACGTCCAATCGGACAGGAAGACAACGACGTATGATCGTTCCCAAATTGTGCCTGAGATTTATTCGACTGATAAGAGCGATCTTCAGGAACTTGTTGTTTCCTCCGCGACTGAGATCGCGCAGGAGACAACTCGCGAGGAAACGCAAAACCTCATCAGCGAGGAGGAAAAAGCCGATGGTTCAAGTTGTCCAAAAGCAGTCACCCAAAGGCAGAAGGACGAAAAATGGCGCGACAATAACGATAAACTTAGATTAAAGAAGTCAATGAGTTCCTCCGAAACAACGAAAATTTCCGAAGAGCAAACTACGACAGAAACAATTTTACCAAAATCAAATGATAATGGGCAACAGAATGGAGAGGATGATCAAAATATGAAACCCAAAGCTTCGACGCAGTCGAAGAAAAATGGCGACGCAAAGAAATTGAAAACCACACATCTTAAAGCATCAAGAGAATTCGCTAGATATATGAAGAACTTAAATAAGCCTCAGAACTTAAAGCAGATGGGCAAGATGAGCAAAAGGCTCATGAAGACACTGTTACAATCTTATCACAATGAATTAATGAAGGTTATGGACGCGAAAACACGGAACCTGAAGAGAAGAGAAATTTGGGACAGCGACGATATTCGTCATCTGATCGATCAGGGAGGGTTTATTGGAGTTTTGATCGATGACGACGTTCTTTACAAGGATACTAATAATAAAAATTACGAAATTCCTATTGAGTTTGTAAAAGAAACACGTTATCCAAAATATAATGAAGACGATGGACATCGAGTTTCCAAGTTATTAGAATACATGAAGAGAATATCGATTAATAAAAACTATCGACCGAACGATCTCGCGAGATTTGCGCAAAATCTCTTTGATGGACAGAATATCAATCAAAATGTAAACGATAAAACAGCAGCTGACTTAAATAATATTTACAAAAATCTTGAATCAAAGCATGATAACTCAGACATGTCTATAACAGATAAAAATATGGAATTGACAAAAGATGCAAGAATTAAAAATGAAAAATCTGTTCGTTATCATGGTGAAAAAGAAGATATATTAAATGTTAAAAAAACTGAAGATGCTGAAGATACTGAAAGAAATTTGATTTTTAAAAATGTCGATACAGATAAAGAAATGTTAAATATAAAAAAATTTAATGATATTACAGAGTTAGAATATAGAATGAACTATTTGGCTAATAAGAAAGAAAATATAGCGGATGACATATATCAAATAGCTAAAGACACTCGAGAAATTATTAAACCATACAATTCAAATGAGGAGATACAAAATAATATACATGTAGAGATGCTTAATAACGATAAAGCAAACAAAAATGTTGAAGAAATTATTGGTGATAATATTAAATTAAGCAAATTTAAAAGAGGAAATGCAAGAAGACAAAGAGATATTAATACACAAAGGAGAGACAAATATTTAAAGCAACTGCTACATTTTCTGTAACGTATTTTATTGTTATTTATTTTCTTTTATTAAATAAAATTATTTTTTATATTTATATATTTGTATGTAATTGAAAGATAATAAATAATTATTATTATTTTTATATAAGTTAACATTTAATTGCTCTATAATTATAAACTTCTAATATTGTCTTATATTATATCTACATATATACAATATATATACAATATATATATTTACATAACAAGACAATATAAGAAGTATAATTATAGAATAATTAAATGCATCTTATATGCAGTTACTTATTTACTAATTTAGTAAGAGAAACAAAAATATTTTCGAAATTTCACAATTAATTTTAATATTATTCTATTTTTATGCTTATTATAGCATTAATTAAACGTCCTATTCTTTTGATTTTTAGATTAACGAGAACAGATGTCCAAGATGAATCAAGTTCTGATATGTATGATTACTTGACAGAAGACTCTGAAGAAATATTTAGTGACCCACCAATCCCGATCTATTTGTTGAGAAAAGAAGATGAATCGCCATTAAACAGCATCTTGTTACAAAAATTAAAAAACTATTTGGCTTCCTCGAAGAAAGACTTGGAAATCAATCGGCAAATTGAGAAAAAATACAAGTCACCAAAGTATATCGTCTTTATACCGACTAAGAATGAGGATTCGTATAAAAGATTGGAAGTGCAAGATTTTGATGATGATTTGTTAGAAAGTTTCGAGATTCCTCGTTTTGAGAGTGAATATTTGCCACGAACAATATCAGATTCTTCAGAAGAACTCGTATACGAAGATCTTTCAGATCTGCTAAATGATAGTACTGAAAATATTTCGGATAAAACAGCTAATTCATCGGAAAGTATGCAGAATGTTTCTGTAGATGTCGAAGATGTTGGGATTAATCGTGAGTCTGAAATGGAAGACGTAAAAATTAAAAAGGAAAAAATCAATTGTTTAAAAATGAACAACCAAATGTCATCTGATGAATGTGGAATGTTTTTATTATTTCCCTGGAGAGAAAATGAGAAAACAAGACAGCGAAGAGAGATCAGAAACAGAATCAATGAAGGCATAAATCAAATAGGAGATGAGGTATAAATATTCTCTTAACATGCGATTTATCTTTTAGATGAAAAAAAGACATGTTTTACGTAACGATCAGACAATATATTTTATGAAATAAACTCTCTCAATATGAGCTAAAAGCTATAACTTGTACTAATGTTAGAGAACTTATATTATGCAAGCTATAACTAATATAACAGATTATTAGTAATTATTTTTTTAATGATAATTACTCGATAATTATATTATGTACATTTTGTTGCTATAATATACATATTTCTTTATAATATTAGTATCATTCTATTTTAATTTAATTAATATATTTTATTTTTATCAGATGCAGTCAAAATCAAATAAATTTTCTATGGCTGAAAATATAAAAGACGAAAACATCGAAAATGTTTTAAATACAAACAATATTGATAAACAAGAAAAGGAAAAAATGATAACGGAAAAAGAGGCAGAAACAAATTATTTACAAACTCAAATAGACAGAAAAAATCGCGACAATCTGCTTGAAGACTTTGTAAAAGCTCGTCAGAAGAATTATTTATATAAAAAGAAAATTTTTTTCGTAAAAAATGAAGAGAAAGATAAAAATTTAAAAAACATCTTAAAGAGCAATGAAAAATTATCATCGTTCAATAAAAAGGTTACTCCAAAGTTACAAAATGAGATTATCGACGATTTAAAAAACGCGCAAAATTGTACGGAGTCTGTGGAACCATTTATTGATAATTTCGAAGAGAAATTCAACGAGACTGTTCTGGCTTCAAATGAAGAAAATGATTTAAAAAGTAAAACTTCAGAAAGTATCGACAATCCTTTTCACGTTGCGATTATAAATATAAAAAGATTTATTGCATTTCTATCAGGGATTTCTCAATTTTTTATATAAAATTATATATTTTATTATATAATTTATCATTTATAATTTTATTATACTATATTTAATATAAATTATTTTTTATATATTTTTATTATATAAATTTTAAATAATCTTATAAAAAAATTTAATCGTAAATTGATAAAAAAAGATTTATCTGATTATACTGTAGTATATGTATACTCAATATATATGTATATAATATTAAATTCTTAATATATATTTAACGCTGATTATATTAATAATTCCGCCAAAATTATATTCGCGCGATAGAATGTGATTCTTTTGCAAAATAATAAAAAAATTTACACACACACAATATACCTATATACATATATGTACATATATATAAAACTATTAAACAAGAAAAATAAAAATTGATAATATTTATGCAATTATTTTTGTAATATTAAGGAAAAATAATTAATTCTATTTTAATTAAATATGTTCATATTTTTTGTAATTTTTGAAGAAGAAAATATAATTTAGTAAAAACAACCACATTTGATATGTACACAGAAAAAACAGTATCCTTGAGAGAATGCAAATATGCTTTGATTCAAGTATATTTTATCCTTATAATAGCACCAAATATAAATAATTTGGATAAAGGATAATTTATCTTTAAAACAAAGTGCAAAATATTCTTGGTTGAAGCTGAAATTTACTTATAAATATTGCAAGGACAAGTGACAAGTGTGCATCGGATATATAAGCGGTACTTTCAAATAAATATAATAATTCTTAGTTCAAATGTGACTAAGTTTGTTTTTACCATATGCGATTTTTAAAACAAGAATATATCTTAAGGATAAAATATACTTTACACAAACTTATTTATTATTAAAGCAAATGAAAATTTGTGATTACAAAGAGCATACTATGCTTAAATCAATCAAATAGCGTTCAAGAATAAAAATATACTTAAATCAAGGATTTCTTTTTTTCTGTGTATAAAATATGTATGCAATGTAGCAATAATTACATTACAAAACACGTAATGCATCTTTATAAATATATACAGTCGCCCTTTTTCTAATAACGTATTATTTGCAACTACATGTTTTTATTTTTTTTTATTTATAACCGCACTGTGTAAAAGTTACAATATATATAAAATATCTTAAAAAGTGATGAAAAATTGTAAAAACAATGGTGTATATTGTGAATATTTTCAAAAATTCACAAAATTGCCTTTTTTATAAAAATATAAGAACAAAGTTACAAACAAACAAAAAATCTAATAAGAACTACAAACTATTTTAAAAACGTAGATAATTGAGAATCGCATTTTTACCCTCCTGGACCTGGATATGGAGCCCACACAAGTGGAAGGATTTTTTTGCATGATCTCGAGAAGGTTCGGTACTTATCACACAACACTTTTGAAAACTGGGATTAACAACGAGAAAAAGATTATTGCTGTAAACCAACAACTAATTTTCTGTTACGATGTAGAAGGCAAGATGTTCTTCCTTCTCATATTATTAATCTTAAACGAAATATACTATTTAAAAGCAGTAGTACTACAAAACGCGAAATGGAGAAGATTACTAATAAATATCTTTTCCAAGATATATAAATTTCTTTTCCAATCACCCTTTTAAATATAAAATGAACACAATTTTTAATCTTGTAGATCACGTGAATGTAACTCTCTCTCTCTCTCTCTCTCTCTCTCTCTCTCTCTCTCTCTCTCTCTCTCTCTCTCTCTCTCTCTCTCTCTCTCTCTCTCTCTCTCTCTCTCTCTCTCTCTCTCTCTCTCTCTCTCTCTCTCTCTCTCTCTCTTTCTCACACACACACGCACACACACACACTCTCTCATTCTCACTCACTCACTCACTGTTCGTCTTGTGTACTTATTTAGTACATTCATGATTAAACATCTATATGCATTAATGTGAAATTTACTTACAATTAGTTTACTTGAAATATTCAATCTCTAAAGTGTTTATCTTATAAGATAGACAAAAAAATCTGAGTAAATAATAAGAAAAAAAAACAAGGATTATTATTGTCATAATTTTTTATCAATTAAGTACTCTCAACTATCCAATAATTAAATAAATACGTACAAATGTGCGCGCGTGTACACACATACACATATTGATATTAAAGAGATTGAAGGAGAGGAAGGAGAAGATAAAAATTTAAATATTCACATATATTTTCAAATATTATATATGAATTTATAGTTTACATATCTAATTAATAATGAATTTCTAATTATATTAAACATATCAAAATAAAGACATACATGTATTTATCAAATGAATAAAATTATTGAATACAGACTTAAAAAATTTATTAAACATAGACTTAAAAAATTAATTAATTAAACATATTCCAAATTTAGAAAAAATAAACTTTATTTATATATGCAACAGCTTTTTAAACTAAATTTTTAAATTCTATTTTATATTAGACAATTATCTCAATCAACATCTACGTCCACATTAGCTGCACTGCAGACTACCTCTACAGCCACATTATCTGCTCCGCGGATATAGCGTTATGCCAATACGATACATTACATGTACTTACTTACTTGCCTTTACTGTACCAACTCTTGTTCTTTCCACGTAATCATGTTTTTACAGTTATCGTTTGCTGTATATCTTCCAGCAAACTTTATTTCGTGTGAAGTGTATTTAATTAATTAAATCTCTGCGAAAGATTGAGAAGATGAAGGGATAATTCAAACTATGAAGACATGGTTACATGGAAAAGACAAGAGTTGATACAATAATAAAGACATACATGTATTTGTATCCTGCTGGCATAAGGTTATAGAAGTTGATTGAGATTGAAAAATAATAATGAAAATAATAAAAAAAATAAAGACACATGTATTTGTATCGTGCTGGCATAAAGTTATAAAAGTTGATTGAGATTGAAAAATAATAATAAAAATAATTAAAAAAAGGAAATATTCAATCATCATTTAAAAGCATATTTGAAATCTGTAGAATAAACAGTTTTTGCAAAAAATGTGGAGCATTTGAGCTCTAGTAAGTCTAAAAATAAATGTAAACATCAATTAATAATAACTGATGTTATATATATATTATATATATAAACCAATTTGTTGCAATATTCACTATAAAAGGTTGTAAGGGTAAGATGGCTAAAAGTGAATAATTTAAAAGATAGTTAACATAATTTTACATAAACTGAAATATTTCATAAAATAAAATATTTGTAATATTTCGAAGTTTATGTAAGATTATGTAAAAAAAAATTATACCTTTACAACTTTTTATAGTAAATATTGCGAGGAATCGATTTATATGAGAAAAATTAAGGTAATTCTATTTTGAAAATATAAGTGACCTTTAAATAACCTTGAAAATCGCCGTTTAGGAAAAAGTCTGTGTCAACTTTTTCTTTTTCGAAATCCTGCAACTTTTATCTAAATTTAATAGAAAATGTATAAAAAATGCTCGACATTAGTACACACACACACACACACACATATGGGTAAATTTATATAAATAGGGTGCTTTAGGAGGAATGATCAGGATTCTAGGATATGATTGTACACATCATTTTAAGCAAAGAAGTTTAGATAAACATGTTTAATAATTGTTCTATTCCGGTCATAAAAATATACAAAAATGAATGATATAATCTCTAAAAACTCACCTTTAAAAAAAGGTAAAAAAAGGCGACCAGTTAAGGGCACGCCATTAACAAAAATTATCCATTGCAAACCCATGTAGAATCCTATCCTATTGCAAACCCATGTAGAATCCTATGAAAAATTAATCATTGCAAACCCATGTAGAATCCTAGGCAAAATTAACCATTGCAAACCCATGTAGAATCGTACCCATTGCAAACCTATGTAGAATCCTATGAAAAATTAACCATTGCAAACTCATGTAGAATCCTATGAAAAATTAACCATTGCAAACCCATGTAGAATTGTATTAAAAATTATCCATTGCAAACTTATGTAGAATCCTACATTGCAAACCCATGTACAATAGAATTGTATGAAAAATTATCGATTATAAACCCATGTACAATCGTAACAAAAGTAATGAAATAAAAAAAAAATTGCGCCAAGTGAAAGTAGAAACTTGTACCAGTGGAAAATTAAAGTTGCAGACATATATAGAGTCGTATAATGAATCAGTAAAAATTTAAATTTGCAAATGTAGAATCGTACCATAAAAAAACTTATCTTTTAAAAAAAAAGATAAACAAGATGCCAAGTCCATGCGCCATGTAAAAAAGAAATAAAAAAATTTTAGTTAAAAAAACTGGGCGCGCTGCTAAGTTTCAAAATTACAATGCACCTTAAAGTAACATTAATTAATTTAAACACAAAACATATTTTAACTGTAATGAGTTTAAAAGTAACAATTTAATTTTAATATTGTTAGAATATTATTTAGCAGCGCTCCCAGTTTTTTTAACTAAAATTTTTTTATTTCTTTTTACATGGCGCATGGACTTGGCATCTTGTTTATCTTTTTTTTTTAAAGATAAGTTTTTTTATGGTACGATTCTACATTTGCAAATTTAAATTTTTACTGATTCATTATACGACTCTATATATGTCTGCAACTTTAATTTTCCACTGGTACAAGTTTCTACTTTCACTTGGCGCAATTTTTTTTTATTTCATTACTTTTGTTACGATTGTACATGAATTTATAATCGATAATTTTTCATACAATTCTATTGTACATGGGTTTGCAATGTAGGATTCTACATAAGTTTGCAATGGATCATTTTTAATACAATTCTACATGAGTTTGCAATGGTTAATTTTGCCTAGGATTCTACATGGGTTTGCAATGATTAATTTTTATAGGATTCTACATGGGTTTGCAATAGGATAGGATTCTACATGGGTTTGCAATGGATAATTTTTGTTAATGGCGTGCCCTTAACTGGTCGCCTTTTTTTACCTTTTTTTAAAGGTGAGTTTTTAGAGATTATATCATTCATTTTTGTATATTTTTATGACCGGAATAGAACAATTATTAAACATGTTTATCTAAACTTCTTTGCTTAAAATGATGTGTACAATCATATCCTAGAATCCTGATCATTCCTCCTAAAGCACCCTATTTATATAAATTTACCCATATGTGTGTGTGTGTGTGTGTGTGTGTACTAATGTCGAGCATTTTTTATACATTTTCTATTAAATTTAGATAAAAGTTGCAGGATTTCGAAAAAGAAAAAGTTGACACAGACTTTTTCCTAAACGGCGATTTTCAAGGTTATTTAAAGGTCACTTATATTTTCAAAATAGAATTACCTTAATTTTTCTCATATAAATCGATTCCTCGCAATATTTACTATAAAAAGTTGTAAAGGTATAATTTTTACATAATCTTACATAAACTTCGAAATATTACAAATATTTTATTTTATGAAATATTTCAGTTTATGTAAAATTATGTTAACTATCTTTTAAATTATTCACTTTTAGCCATCTTACCCTTACAACCTTTTATAGTGAATATTGCAACAAATTGGTTTATATATATAATATATATATAACATCAGTTATTATTAATTGATGTTTACATTTATTTTTAGACTTACTAGAGCTCAAATGCTCCACATTTTTTGCAAAAACTGTTTATTCTACAGATTTCAAATATGCTTTTAAATGATGATTGAATATTTCCTTTTTTTAATTATTTTTATTATTATTTTTCAATCTCAATCAACTTTTATAACTTTATGCCAGCACGATACAAATACATGTGTCTTTATTTTTTTATTATTTTCATTATTATTTTTCAATCTCAATCAACTTCTATAACCTTATGCCAGCAGGATACAAATACATGTATGTCTTTATTATTGTATCAACTCTTGTCTTTTCCATGTAACCATGTCTTCATAGTTTGAATTATCCCTTCATCTTCTCAATCTTTCGCAGAGATTTAATTAATTAAATACACTTCACACGAAATAAAGTTTGCTGGAAGATATACAGCAAACGATAACTGTAAAAACATGATTACGTGGAAAGAACAAGAGTTGGTACAGTAAAGGCAAGTAAGTAAGTACATGTAATGTATCGTATTGGCATAACGCTATATCCGCGGAGCAGATAATGTGGCTGTAGAGGTAGTCTGCAGTGCAGCTAATGTGGACGTAGATGTTGATTGAGATAATTGTCTAATATAAAATAGAATTTAAAAATTTAGTTTAAAAAGCTGTTGCATATATAAATAAAGTTTATTTTTTCTAAATTTGGAATATGTTTAATTAATTAATTTTTTAAGTCTATGTTTAATAAATTTTTTAAGTCTGTATTCAATAATTTTATTCATTTGATAAATACATGTATGTCTTTATTTTGATATGTTTAATATAATTAGAAATTCATTATTAATTAGATATGTAAACTATAAATTCATATATAATATTTGAAAATATATGTGAATATTTAAATTTTTATCTTCTCCTTCCTCTCCTTCAATCTCTTTAATATCAATATGTGTATGTGTGTACACGCGCGCACATTTGTACGTATTTATTTAATTATTGGATAGTTGAGAGTACTTAATTGATAAAAAATTATGACAATAATAATCCTTGTTTTTTTTTCTTATTATTTACTCAGATTTTTTTGTCTATCTTATAAGATAAACACTTTAGAGATTGAATATTTCAAGTAAACTTGTAAGTAAATTTAATTAAATAGATTTCGGAATTACCGATCGTACGATTCCGATTGAGTGAGTTTCGGATCTAGATTTTTGTCTCGCACTTTAGAGGGAGAGAGGGGAGAGAGGGAGAGATTAAAAATCTCTTTAGAGATTATTCCAATTTTATATATTGGCCGTGTCCAAGTAAAAATTTGGTGCCTTGTGCACAGGTATTTAATTCTAACGAAAAAATTAGTTTCGTTAGAATAACGCACTGTCATCCGCGATTTGGCTCTTATTGCCTATCTTATATATGTTAAATTTATATTTATATATTACAGAGCCTAGTTAAACTCTTAATTTATACACGCTGGCTTAAAGGCGTTTATTTACCAACATTAATATATATAACAGAGAAAAGTATAGAATCGAAAGGATCTGAATAGCTCAGTTGGAAGAGCAGTCGCCCGGCAAGCGAAAGGTCTCGGGTTCGATTCCCGATTCTGCGACTTTCGGATCTATATTTTTCTCTCGCACTTTATTTCTTTAGGGGGAATAGGGGATACATGGAATTAAAAATCTCTTGTAGAGATTATTCCAATTTTATATCTTGGCCGTGTCCAGTAAAAATTTGGTGCCTTGTGCACAGGTATTAATTCTAACGAAAAATTTAGTTTCGTTTAGAATAACGCACTGTCATCCGCGATTTGGCTCTTATTGCCTATCTTATATATGTTAAATTTATATTATATATTACAGAGCCTAGTTAAACTCTTAATTGTAAGTAAATTTCACATTAATGCATATAGATGTTTAATCATGAATGTACTGAATAAGTACACAAGACGAACAGTGAGTGAGTGAGTGAGAATGAGAGAGTGTGTGTGTGTGTGAGAAAGAGAGAGAGAGAGAGAGAGAGAGAGAGAGAGAGAGAGAGAGTTAGCCAACATAACCCCGCACGCTGCCGATCATGAATGTACTAAATAAGTACACAAGACGAACAGTGAGTGAGTGAGTGAGAATGAGAGAGTGTGTGTGTGTGTGCGTGTGCGTGTGAGAAAGAGAGAGAGAGAGAGAGAGAGAGAGAGAGAGAGAGAGAGTTAGCCAACATAACCCGCACGCCGCCGATATGGCGGAGCGCCACTATCGCCATCTGTTGTAAAACGTGCGAGATGGACAAAATTACCACTACATGCATCTTGCATGTGTTGTGTACGTGTGATATATGTGTGCGCATGTGTTGTATACGTGTGAATACGTGTAGCACGATACTACTATGTATGCGTGGTCGATGATGATAATGATGATGATAATGATGATGATAATGATGACGGGGACGTTTCTTAATAGAAATTTTTCATATTTCGACTTTGCATTTATATATCTCTGCTTACAAATCACGTAGAGCAGAAATAAAGACACTTTATTATATAATTCGAACTCAATCTATCGATTAAGTCTAGTAAACTCGTATAAACTCGATTGCTTCAGCCATTATTGAGGATTCGAAATATTATAAAGACTCAAATGTCCGACTCGCGTTAAGATACACGGTGTCTCCGCTACGCCCTTAACTGGTCGCGAGACACTACGTGTCTCTTGATATTAAGAGGTGTAAAACGTGGTGATATTTTACTAGAAGATATAAATGAAGACCTGATTTCTCACAGTTTATATACTTACAAATCTACAAATCCAGATTTATTAATTCGTACTTCTGGAGAAGTTCGACTTAGTGACTTTCTCTTGTGGCAAGTAAGAAGATACAGTTTAATAAACATTTTTTATTTACTCTAAAGAAGATATACTAATTAAAATAATTTTAATTACTAATTTTAAATCCTTTTTTAGATCTCCAATACTTGTATCTATTTTTCCAATGTATTATGGCCTGAATTCAATTTATGGAATCTTCTTAGTGCTATTTTTTATTATCAAAGGTGCTATTCTGACTTGCAAAAAGTCGCGAAAATACAAAATTTGAAGCCAATTGTGCACAATGATAGAGTATCTATGTATGTTAATAAGTTGCATCATGAGCGCGAAGATATAATTAAAAATTTATATCTATCGACAGTTCAACCATAAATATTGAATACAAATGGATACCTAACAATTATATTGACCATACGTTAAATACTTTTAATTCGTTACACCCACGTATACAATTCACAGTTGAAAAAAAAAAAAACCATAGTTTGAGTTTCTTGGACATCAAATTAATATCAAAAAATAATAAAATTATTTGCGATTGGTTTAGAAAGCCTAGGTTTTGGAAGGTATTTGAATTTTCTTTCGCAACACCCTATATGTCAAAAAAGAGGCATAATTGTCGGTCTGATTGATAGAGTAATTTATTTTTTATCACATCCTTTATTTCATCAAAAAAATATAGAAATGATTATTAACATCCTAATCAATAATAATTATCCGGTAAAATTCATATTTGACACAATTAAATATAGACTCTAATTTATACTAGAAGTAATATTTCAAACAACAGTTTAAGTCAGTCAAATGACTCTTCTTTGTTTTTTACTGTACCTTATTTACCGAATATTACTGAACAATTGATAAATATCACAAAAAAGCTGATATTAGACTCTCTTATGTAAGTATGAATAAATTAGGGAAGATTATAAAAACACATAAAGATAAAATATCTAAAGGAGCGAATACTAATGTAGTATATAAAATCAACTGTAAAATATTTAAAATTACCAAAAATTACCTTAGATTACCCAAAATTTCTTTGGATTACCGTTGAATTACCTAGTCCTTGTACGAAAAATACCTCAGTGACCAACTCCTCGTATAACTACAATTATATATGTGTATATAAATATAAATATAAATGTAAAATATAAATATAAGAGTATAAATGCAAATATAAATTAAAAATATATTATACTATCTCTTGCAATTTAATAAAGCTAACCCAATTATCCGAAAATAACTTTCCAAAATAATGTATGTATACGAATATGATTGTGTTGAAACATTTTGAACGTTTATAATAAATGCGACATTAAAGCAGAAGACAAATAATGTTTGTGTTTCAAATTTATTTCTGTGTATCTAGCAGGCAATAAATAGCACTATCTGTTTATATCATTATTGTTAAAAAACTGTTGTATTTGAATTCTTTTAAACACAAATGCAAATATAGCTAACAATTATATTTATAGCATCACGAGAAATATTATAACCGCTAGAGATTCTTAAAACAATGAGGTCACTAATAAATTGAATCGAAAGCTGCTCATACATATATCATTACGACATAATGGACGAGCTAAATTTCATAACAATGTGATGACAAGAGATACATGTGTAATCAATGAATCGCCAAATTATTTAGTGCGCTTTCGATCACAATTGAATTCAGTTTGTCTTGAGAGACAGCAGAGAGAACAAAGTATATAAATTTCGATCTAACATATATTTATTATAATTAATAATTTTCAACTATTAATATTTAATTTGCATTTTAAATTAAAATTAAAATAAATTATTAATTATTTAATAGTTTAAGTTATTTATATATATTTTTTATATTTTACATATATTTAAATTTTGTTTATTTATATAATTTTTTCTCTCTGTCATTTCTTACTCTTTTATATCTTTTTATTTAACAATAAAATTTAGTATTTAATTTTTATTTAGTTATATTTAATTTTATAAGTAAAAGAGAGAGACATGATAATTACTATCTAATGGATATTATATAAATATTGTACTATAAATAATTTTACTTTTATAAATATTGTATACATATATTTTGGATGTAAAATAAAAATTTTGTGTCCAAAGTCAAAGGAGCATAATGACATCAAGAAGTGGTTAATAGTGAATGTGATCAATATGTATAAGAAAATTATTTTGATCGTGTTGGTGTTACTTGTGATTGTCCGCTCGGAGGAAACTTCTGCCAAGAATGTGACGAGAGCAAATTTTTAAATTTCAGGTAATTAAAAATTTTTAATTAATTAATAAAAATTTAATTATAGAAAAATGTTAGATCCTTATAATTTAGAAATAAAATTGTTATTAATATATTAATTAAATAAATTATAGAAATGTTTCATAAAATTTAATTTTATCAAACATATTTTAAATGATGTTTCTTTTGTATATATTATATATACATATATATTAATTGACAAACAAATATAAAAATAAATATATGTATACAATATTAATATTAAAATATCTTAGGATTAAATATGATGTAATTTAAATTTGACTTTCGGGTTTTTATTCAACTTTAAATAGCCTAATTGTAAAAAGTATGTTACTCTTAATTGCTTAATTGTTTATGTCAGCACAATCGTTCATCATTTTTATTACGTGCACACAAACTGCTGAATTGAAAACTTTGAAGTTATCGGATTAATACAGAACAATGTTTATAGCACATATGGATGATTTAAAAATAGGATAAAAATATATTTCATAGAAAAAAATTATTTATAATTTCATATATACTTTAAATTAATTTCTCCAAATAAAGAATTAATTAAATTAATTTTCAGCGTATTTAACTTAATTGTAAAATTATATACATTTGAAATACCTAATTTCCAGGGTTGAGTAATAATTAGTTAATTAGTTGAAAGTTAAAAAATTAATAACTTATTTTAACATAGCTTAATTAATTTAAAAAGTATTAATTTTTAACTTCAACTAGTTATTGTTGACTTTAAACTTATTAACTTTTTTCCTTAGTTAAATTTTGTTTATCTCTAACATCATTATGTTTTTTTATAAGTTAATAAACGTATTATTTTTAAATTAAAGTATTATTAATTTTTATGTTTATTTGTCATCAATTGTAATTATATTTCTAAAAAATATATTTTTAAAAATCAAAATTTTTTTGTTATTTGTTATTATAAATTTTAAAAGAAATAACAAACAGAATTCTCATTTAATATAAATAATGTTTTTAAAAATTACTTTTGATTTAACTTCAGTTAATTTAATCTTAACTTTACTTTAACTGAGTTAATTTTAACTGACTGAGTTAATTTTTTGTTTATGCGACTTTTACCTTAACTAAATTAATTTTATAAGTAATTAACTTTAACTTAACTTATTGTTAGTTTTAAAAAATCATTAACTTACCTAACCCTGCTACTCTCTTAATCAAATTAGCAAGTATTTTTGTGACCAAATAATTATTTGTAGATTATCGACAATTCTGCCGTACTTATCACTACACAATGATCAAAATCTTACGAAGAATAACGAAAAAAGATCGCTGTATTTCATACCACCGTCGCAGATACGAGATGAATATAAAAAGCCAAAAGAAATAAGCCAGAAAACAAAACGTTGCGGGTCGTTACCTCGGAAAAACAAATTTTCCTCATCATCAAGAAAGGATAGCTCTAACAGAGCAGAGATGAATACAAGAAACCTCGATAAAAATATTAAAATTTCTAAACAAAATTCCCGGATTCTCGCAAAAAACGTAAGATATTCGCAAGAAAATCCTGCAAACAGAATAAAAGCTGAAACACATAAAGATACCTTTTTACGAGCTGTTAAGAATAACTTGGATGCAGAAAATTCAGAATCTCGAGGGAAGATAAAGAAGAACGATAAGGAAAATTGTATTTGTTATTGTAAAGAGGAGAACTGTGCATCTAAATCATCAATAAAAAATTCATCTGAAATATTAAGCTCTTCCAGAAAAGACAAACCTGAAAAGACAAATCATCAATTAGCTAAAGAAAAAAACACCAAATCAAATGTTTTACGAACATCACCAAGATTATATCATAAGAGTTTACCTAGTTCAATCAATTCTTTTCCAACACGACTCTATCAAGAAAAAGTACACGACATCCCTCGTGTAGCGATTCTGTACGGAAAATCACCAAATATTTTGCCTTACATAGTAGGAAATGAGAAAAAATTTGTTCCATTCACTACATTTGAGAACAGATCAAATTTTCTAGCCAAAAATAATCAATATCCACTGACTATTCGTCAAAATTCGAATCCCTGTCCACGTAAAGATGAAGAAAACCGGGTTGGAAGTCCCGTCATATCAACTACTTCGTCTATTACACAAATGGAAAGTGATCTTCAATCAACGACTGAAAAAGATCAAGAAGATTTTTTTAAGCCAACTACAGAAACTTCGACCGATCGTGTAGACGTGTCAACTGATTCAAAAATGGAAACCAATTTTTATCCAAACTATTCGAATGAAATAGGTGAAAAAAACAAAATTATGGATTTTTCCAATTCGGATGAAGCCACGGATAAATTAGACGATTCTACAGAAAGCATCGATGGAAATCGAGATGACGATTTTTCGAAGTTAATGTCATCTTCCATAAATAATGTCGATAGAAGCGAAATATCACCCACCATCTATCCATCAATCATGCGCGATGAAAAATTGATAAACATGGAAGAGTGTATAAAATTATTCGGTCGTGACGTGTGCGTACTCAGCGCGTCCAGTGTGACGTCACCGGAAGCACTTTCGAGGCAGGCACAAAAGAACAGTATGAATGAATATTCCACGATTACAATTCCGGAATATATCGTACGAATGTCCGCGAAAGAAGAAACAACGTCGAATAACGTTGATTATTCGGATGAATTCAGAACAACCGAAGTGTCAAATGTTGACTCGAATGAGTATCTCGAATCAACAAGTACGGAATTAACTGATGAGAACTTTTTGCGGAAAGAATTTTATGCAGGATCCATCGAATACACTGGAGTACCAAACGACGACTATGATGAGAATAAATTATTTAATTCCGAGGAAGATACGCTTGTTCCAATGAAAAAATTGATGTATCGGATAACTGATAAGAAGACTGCAAAAAATACGCCGTTAGGAAAGGGTAAAAGTCATAAAATTGAATCATTGTCGAGTTCAAATAATAAAGAAACAACAACTATTGGTTACAATTTTCAAACCGGACATCATTTGGAAGAGGAAAGCACAAATAGATTGATTGGATCAGAGATCGATTTTGATCCTGAAGACGAAACACTTAAAAAACAATTTAAAGAAGAAATTAGAAATGAAGAAGAAACAACTGAAAATGATTTATTAGGGATAAAAACCTTTAAACTTGGAGATGAGATTTTTCAAGGACTTGAAGTGCAAAACCTTGATCATGAAGGAACAGATTATTTAAATAATAACGAAGATGTCACCGATAGTCTCGAAACAATCATCGATTCGTCAGAAAGATTACCATTCCACGACAATACTTTACTTTTAAATTCCATCAGAAAGGTCATCAACGACTTTGCATCGAATGTTTCCTTAGCCAAGGCAAAAAATCTCGACGAAAATATTCTTCAGACACAAGGTAGCAATTTACTGCCAGAAATCTTGAAACTTTCGAATCTCGAGAGTATCCTGTTAATTCCGCAAATAGAAAATATGATTATAGAAAAAGTAAGCGATATCCTATCCAATATTGAAGCCACTTCCAGAGGATACTTCACAACTGATTGGTCGCATGATGTGATCAGGAACACTCTTCGTAGCTTATTACAGGCTCTTTCTTCAGGGTTTCACCGAAAACTTCCATCGATCGAAGAGCATCAATTTAAGGACGGACAATGGACAGTCAATTCGGTAACATTAGCACCAGTTTCAAACAAGAAAGCATCATTGACAAGTCCGGAAAACTTGCGGCAAAGCATCGGAAACCTCCTAACCGCTCCAGCAATCGCGTCGCAGATAGATCACTACATTGTACAAAACATGATTGTGCAGAGCGTAAAAAATAGTTTTGCTAAAAACGAACAAGAGAAAATAGAAGATTTAATAATACACGAGTTAAATGATATTTTCGGACATTAAAAGATTCGGCAGATACGAACGTGTTGGGAAAAAATAGTGAATCTATTGATAGTGAAAGAGATGTGGATTTAACTTATTCACAAGAAATCTCGACAAATGATTATGAAAAAGAAATAAATATTGGCAACTTAGTATCAATCGATGAAGAGAATCCTGACATAGAAAATAGTACAGAAATAGACAATGAGAACATGTCTATTTATAAAATGAATGAAAATGTCACGGATACACTCTTAAATGGAATACTGAAGATAAATAATATACAAGATGATGAAGTGAAAGGAAAACTAGCTGAACCGTCGAAAATTGCAGTCACATATCACAAAGCTATTTCGCAAAATAATCTCGGTATAATATCAGCCATTTCTATAAAACCAAATTTAGAAGAATTGAGTGAAAAAGCAGAAAATGTACTGACAACTACAATTTCATCAATTACAGCTAAAAATGTTGACGAAACAGAAAAAAGTATCGTTAATCCGACATCGAGAATAAAGGACACTAATGACGATAATAAATCGTTAACAAATCGTTATTTACTGAATAATTCAATTTTGAAATGTATTGAAAATGATTATGCTAATGATAAAAACATCCAAGTTGCAACAATACCCTCGAATTTTATGCAAGAAACTTCACCAAAAATATCGGATGGCATAATTACAAAAAACATGATGGAAGTTAAAGATATCGGAGATGAATATATCACCAATAAAGAATTATTGACTAAATCAACTGACAGTTTAATGTCACCTACAAATGTAAAATTAAAAATTGTTTCTTCAACTGACGAGATTGATCCGGCAATAATATTGGAAAGAATTGAACATAATTCATCGCCAATAAAATATTATTCACCAGAAATTTTGAAATACATAAAAAGTCATCGTAATGATAATAATAATGATGATGATATAAATATTGAAATTACGACGACAAGTTTTATGCAAGATATGTCGGATAATGTAATAAAATTACATGACAAAACGTTGAATACTTCGATCGATGATATAATTTCATCTCCAAATATAGAGTATGGAAATTACGAAATAAATAAAGATATTCTAGATTCGCAACAGCATAATTTTGTAACGAAAGGCAACGTTATTGATAAAATCCACGAAGTCACTACGGAAGTTCAGCGAACTTACACAAAAACCAGATACTTCAAGGTGAATTCTTCCGATGATAATCTAGGAATCGGTTCATCCTTATCAACTTATAATACCAATAGCAATAATAAAGACAAGAATAGCGATAATCATAATGCCAATCTAATTGGCAATAAAATGTATAACACCGATAATACAGAAACAAATGAACAAGCACTTATTTCATGCCCCAAATCATGTGTCCTAGGCAATATCTACCCTCTTCAGCTATTTCCCTCGGACAGTATAAAATTGCCAGTGGAGATCGAAAAATTGAAGGACGGTTCCTACGCTTTGTCGATCACCAAAAATATATGCGAGCAGATTTTGGAAAGAAAATGTTCCTGCTGTTTGCCAGTGCAAGGACACTTGATTCTATCGTGTAACAAAAATCAAGATCAAAAGGAGAATACGCATATAATTACTGACAAAAATCAAAATCAAAAGGATAATGCACATATGATAACTGATAAAAATCAAGATCAAAAGAATATGATGACTTTGATGACTACGGGGAAAAACGCCTTGAGGGTGCAAAAATCAGTAGAAGCAAAAAGAATGAGGGCGCATGATCTTTCGAAGAGAAACTTGAATGATAATAATCTAATAACGATTTTGATGCCAGTCATCGATTTTGCGAAGAAATATCTGCTTGATTCTAACAAAACTGATGACATAATGCAAAACTATGATAAGTCATTGAGGAAATCAACCGGAGAATTTGATGATCATCAGTTAAAGGAGAGAAATCTCAATGATATTTTTACAACGAAGGAAGAGGAATTTACGATTAAAAATAAAGATGCAACGGATAAATTGCAAAAGTCAGTAAATTTGCGAGAGAGAAAAGATATAAATTTTCCAAGATCCTCAATTTCTCGAGATTATCATAATTCGGAAAATTCGATAGAAATTGAATCACAGGAGAAACATTTCAAAGCAAATCAATATAAAATAACTGAAGATTTGCGTAAATCGGAAACTGAGAAAAACATTCAAAATATAAATACTGAGCGAAAAATTAATTTAAAAAATCAAAAAAGACATCCTATTTTAAAAAGAATTAATATGTCCAAAGAAGATACCGAAATAAAGAATGAAGAAATAAAATCAAATAAATACCAAATAGCAGATGTTGAAAAAGGTAATTATTATATAAACTTTAATAATAAAAAACATCAAAATGCTGAAAGAATAATGCAAATAAAATTCTATTTTAGGAAATGTTAAAGTTTTCAGAAAGAAGAAGGACAAGAAACCTCGACAAACGATAGTATCTGAAAATCACGAAAGAATTCCTATTTCGAGGATTATTATTTCCAGAAACAAGGACAACGTCGAAAGCGATGAAGAAACAAATTGGGATAAATCAATAGATATTGGAGAAGGTAATATTCACTTATATAATAAATAAAATATGATAAATTTTAAACAATTTTACTTTTAGGAGACATTTATCATACAAAGAAGAAAGATGAGTATAAAATGTATATGATGAACGATAACCACAATATTCCAAGAATTAAAACTTATGAAGAAGTTAATAAAAAGCCATATAGATCCCAGCGAAATGCAAATAATGTCGCTAATAAAAGAGTAGAATTAGTGAAATCTGTGCTTTATTGGCTTAAAGATATTTTATTAGATTAATAAATTACCAGAATAATTAAAATTAATCGACAGCTTTTAATTAATTAAAAACCTTATTCTTAAAATAAAATTAATTTGTTCAAGATTCAATAAATACACTTTTCATAAAAAAATTGCTTTTTTAAATATAAATTTAACATATATAAGATAGGCAATAAGAGCCAAATCGCGGATGACAGTGCGTTATTCTAAACGAAACTAAATTTTTTCGTTAGAATTAAATACCTGTGCACAAGGCACCAAATTTTTACTTGGACACGGCCAAGATATAAAATTGGAATAATCTCTACAAGAGATTTTTAATTCCATGTATCCCCTATTCCCCCTAAAGAAATAAAGTGCGAGAGAAAAATATAGATCCGAAAGTCGCAGAATCGGGAATCGAACCCGAGACCTTTCGCTTGCCGGGCGACTGCTCTTCCAACTGAGCTATTCAGATCCTTTCGATTCTATACTTTTCTCTGTTATATATATTAATGTTGGTAAATAAACGCCTTTAAGCCAGCGTGTATAAATTAAGAGTTTAACTAGGCTCTGTAATATATAAATATAAATTTAACATATATAAGATAGGCAATAAGAGCCAAATCGCGGATGACAGTGCGTTATTCTAAACGAAACTAAATTTTTTCGTTAGAATTAAATACCTGTGCACAAGGCACCAAATTTTTACTTGGACACGGCCAAGATATAAAATTGGAATAATCTCTACAAGAGATTTTTAATTCCATGTATCCCCTATTCCCCCTAAAGAAATAAAGTGCGAGAGAAAAATATAGATCCGAAAGTCGCAGAATCGGGAATCGAACCCGAGACCTTTCGCTTGCCGGGCGACTGCTCTTCCAACTGAGCTATTCAGATCCTTTCGATTCTATACTTTTCTCTGTTATATATATTAATGTTCTGTATTTATACACGCTGGCTTAAAGGCGTTTATTTACCAACATTAATATATATAACAGAGAAAAGTATAGAATCGAAAGGATCTGAATAGCTCAGTTGGAAGAGCAGTCGCCCGGCAAGCGAAAGGTCTCGGGTTCGATTCCCGATTCTGCGACTTTCGGATCTATATTTTTCTCTCGCACTTTATTTCTTTAGGGGGAATAGGGGATACATGGAATTAAAAATCTCTTGTAGAGATTATTCCAATTTTATATCTTGGCCGTGTCCAAGTAAAAATTTGGTGCCTTGTGCACAGGTATTTAATTCTAACGAAAAAATTTAGTTTCGTTTAGAATAACGCACTGTCATCCGCGATTTGGCTCTTATTGCCTATCTTATATATGTTAAATTTATATTTATATATTACAGAGCCTAGTTAAACTCTTAATTTATACACGCTGGCTTAAAGGCGTTTATTTACCAACATTAATATATATAACAGAGAAAAGTATAGAATCGAAAGGATCTGAATAGCTCAGTTGGAAGAGCAGTCGCCCGGCAAGCGAAAGGTCTCGGGTTCGATTCCCGATTCTGCGACTTTCGGATCTATATTTTTCTCTCGCACTTTATTTCTTTAGGGGGAATAGGGGATACATGGAATTAAAAATCTCTTGTAGAGATTATTCCAATTTTATATCTTGGCCGTGTCCAAGTAAAAATTTGGTGCCTTGTGCACAGGTATTTAATTCTAACGAAAAAATTTAGTTTCGTTTAGAATAACGCACTGTCATCCGCGATTTGGCTCTTATTGCCTATCTTATATATGTTAAATTTATATTTATATATTACAGAGCCTAGTTAAACTCTTAATTTATACACGCTTGCTTTTTTAAATTTTTAAAAAATTTCCTTTTTTAAATTAGATTTTCTCTAAAATATTTTTGAATATATTTCAAAAAATTTCTTTCACTTTTATAAATTTCTCTTGTAGATTTTATTTCTTTCTTTGTAGAATAATGTATATAATAATAAAATGTAGAATAATATATATATAATAAATAATCAAAAACTTTTATTAATTATTAACGTAGTATAAAATAATAAAATATAATTTAATTAAATATAAAATAATCCACAATTTCAAATACATCCCATACAGCACCGAAAGATTGCAAAAAACATTACAACAATCTTTCACCGCAATATTGCAATATTGCAAATTCACTCAAAATGTTGCTACATCATTGCTGTTGAATTGCAGCAATGTTAAAATGTCCGCTTTTTGGAAGATTGCAACAAAATATTACAACAATATTGCAATATGTTATGAGTTTGCAATAATGTATTGTTATTGCAACCATAAACTAATGTTGCATATACAGGTATATAAATGTAAATAAATCATTAATGAAAATACGTTGTAGTTAATTCATATATATTACAATATATTGTGGCGATAAATGCCACAAGAATATTAAAATATATAAAAAATAAAAAATGTACACGAAATAAAAATATATGACAAGCGACGAGTGTTAAGGATATCGCGACCGGTGACACAAAATAATAAATAAATAAATAAGCGTCTAGCATGACGAAGGTAGATTATGATTTCCGAATAGAATAAAAAGCGAAAGTCTTCAAAATAATAGATAGACTAATCACCTAAAAATAAAAATAAGGTCGTGGAAAAATGGAGAGAAGCAAGACGATACGCGGCCTCGAAGGGCAGATAGATTTTGACTCGCGCTCGCGATACACGGTTTTCCTCGGTGGAGAGTAAAAGTCTGTATTTAATAATCCGAATAAACGCAGTAAAAGACAATATAATTATAACACCTATTAACTATTCCGTCTTAACGATCCTCTCCCGATTCGCGATATTGATAGAGCAATAATTAACGAACTAAGCTACACACGCTCGCCCAAAATATAAATTATAGAATTTGGATTACATGCAATATTTCCGAAATATTAATGTCATGTTGCTACAAGTGTGCTGGAATTTTGTGCACTTATATCTCTGCAATGTCTTTATAATGTTGCATTGCAACTTGCAACATTGCAACGTTGCTGCAATATATTTGCAATAATCTGTGCTGTATGGGATTATATGTATGTATACATATATGTATAATTATAAATTTTTTAAATAAATAAACTAATAATTTTAATAATTCAATATACCTATATATATAACTTCTATATAAATTATATATGAAGCCATTTTGTCAAGAATTCACTGATTAGTTATATAATTATAAAAATTGTAAATAATTATATATAATATATTATATTGCGCTTTTACATTGTTAGAAGATTGTGTAAGTTTTAATAATTTTTTAAAACTATAAGTTAAAATTATATAGTTGCTTATAAAATCAATTTAGTTAAATTAAAAGTATTGCATAAAGAAAAACGTAACCCGGTTAAAAGTTAAGATTAAATAAATCAAAAGTTAATTTTTAAAAACATTATTTTTATATTAAATTAGAATTTTGTTTATCAATTAATTATTCTTTTAAAATTTATAATAACGTAATAATGTTATTTTGATTTTTATATATAGAATAATACATATATATATATTTTTTATAATTACAATATGGATGACAAATAATGAACATAAAAATTATAATACTTTAATTTAAAAACGTTTATAACTTATAAAAATTAATAATAATTTTTAAATTATATAACTATAATAATTAGTTCAATAAAATTGTTAACTTTTTAACTAATTAACAGTTATTTGCAAAATGTTTTTAGTTCAGGTAATATGAGAAGAAACAGAGATCAAATGAAAAATATACCTGTCTCTTTTCAATTCGGACTCGAATTTTTTATAGAATAATATAGGGAGGGCTTAATTCATTATTCATATACTAAGAATTTATCGAGTACGCATAAAATGAAGCATCAACATAACCTTGAAAAATTAACTTAACGAAGAAAAGTGAGGTTATGTTGATCAGAGATTGACGTTTCTATCTACGCGATTTAAACATGGGTTTGTTTGGAAAATCGCAGGAAAAAAATCCCAAAGAAATGGTGAGTCTGCAGAAAGTGCAATTTATGACTTATCATTAACATTAATCATTTTGAAGGTTCAAGAATGGACTCACAAATTAAGGAAGGAAGGTTATCAGCTTGACAGACAGGTTAGAGGTGAGTTTTAAAAGGAAAATTTTCAACAAAAATCTTTTAAATCGACAAAATTTAGTCAACACAAATTTTCATCTTTATTGCAAATTTAACTTTTGATTTTAATCTAAAAAAGAGAGTTTTAAATAATCCGAAAAATTTTCAGGAATATTCTTATAACATTCTTAGCATTTTAGTAAATATTGAAATTTTTTTTAATCTTTAGTTCAAATATCTTTTTCATTTCTTTCCTTTTGCATTTATTCTAAATATTGTTATATAATATTGTAATATTAATATTGTATAATCAATACTTTCTTTGCGCAGCAATATTAATATTGTATAATTAATACTTTCTTTGCGCAGCAATATTAATATTGTATAATCAATACTTTCTTTGCGCAGCAATATTAATATTGTATAATCAATATATTTATTTGCGCAGCAATTCAGAGGGAAGAGGATAAAGTCAAACGTTCCTTAAAAGAAGCAGCGAAGAAAGGAGATAAAGATGTGTGCAAGATCCTTGCAAAAGAGATTATAAGGGCTCGTAAGGCCTGCAACAAAATTTACACTTCCAAGGCACACCTAAATTCTGTGTCATTACAAATGAAAAATCAATTGGCCACCATCAGAGTCGCTGGTTCAGTTTCAAAGTCTACAGAAGTGATGCAAGCGATGCAATCTTTGATAAGAGTACCAGAAGTAGCTGCGACTATGAGAGAAATGTCAAAGGAGATGATGAAAGCAGGAATTATCGAAGAGATGTTAGATGAAACAATGGATTCTATCGAGGATTCTGAGGAGATGGAGGACGAAGCCGATGAAGAAGTTGATAAGGTAGAGCATTTTTTGTTTTATTTTATATTTTACACTTACAGATCAAAATATGAGTACTAGAGAAAAATGTAGTAAATGCTTTCCTAGATATTTTTTATCATAAAGAGAAATCTGTAAATAAAATTTCTTTATATAGATTTTATGGGAGGTGACGGCTGGTCAATTGGGTACAGCTCCTGCAGTTATCACGGAGAATCCTGAATCAGTTGCAGCCTCCACATCTGTGGAAGAAGAAGTAGAAGATGATGATAAAGAGCTTGAAGAAATGAAAAACAGATTGCAGAGCCTTCGCAGCTAGATGTGCTAAATATTTTAAGTATATTTGCATTAAATGTCAGGGAAAAATAAGTATAATAATATTAACATACAATTATTAAATAATACAATTATTAAAGAAATAATAACACGAATTATATAAATAGCGTTTGCCTATTTATTATAATGTGTTATTTTGCTATTTATATGTAAATATTGTATATGTATTATTGCTTTTTAGAGTACTTAAACGCTTATTTTGCTTATAAACGCTCTGATTTTACATCACTATTAAATAATAATTTTCTTTATAATTTTAATTTGAATTATTTTTAAAATTAAGAAATATTATGTAAAACAATTTAAACACATAGTGATATGTAACTAATATTTTTTAAAATTATTAATTTAACTATCAAAAGATTATAGAAATAATTGGAAATTGAATATTTTAAATAACTTTAATAGTTATTGCACTTTGTTATCACTTTCACACAAATTTATACTTATGAATATAATAAAAAGATTTATCTTTTATGGCTTTATATGTGCCATTCTTATTTTGTACTTTCCTTTTTGTAACTTATGACTTAAAGCATCTAATATTCAACTATTTACTTATAAATTTTCAACTTTATTTTTTGAAAGAAAAAGGAAAACAGATAAAGAATTGTAACAAATTCGATACAGTATTGATAATTATTGATTGCCGTTAATTATCTAAACAATTTTCAAATTACAGTATTTTATATATTAGTAATTATATATTAGCAAAAGAGATATATTTTATGTTGAAAAATGTTGTTAACATAAATAAATAAATTATAATATAATATATATATTAGTATTTATTATTATTATTATTAAAAATATTAATATTATATAGTTAGTACACCAAGAGTAATACGTGCCTTGTGCACGACTTATTTTCATAGCAACATCCGCGTTTGGCTCTTCACGCCTTCTTACGATTTAGATTTATATTAATATTATATATTAGTATTAATGAATATTACCAAAAATGTTAATAATAATAATATATTAATAATATATTATTGTTATTATACCAAATACATATTCTGCTAGTTAAATAAATTATATTAATATTTATAGTTAATATTTAATCATAAATTAATTATCAAACTACTTCTTTAATTACTTACTTATCTTGCATAATGCGCTGTATAAAAAAACTAATAATTAAAATTTATTTTTTTAGGTTTAATCTTTCTCTCTTTACGAGTTTTACAGTTATAGATTTATAATACAAGTTTTTTTTAACTTAAAATCGAAAAAATATAAAAAATATATTTGATACCAAATGTGATAACATTTAAATAAAAATTTAACATAATTTAAAGCTGCATTCGTCTTGATGAAGTATAGAAAACGTTTGATTGACTAATCGGGACAAATTTTTCTTTATTTAAATGTACATATACACTATATTACATTAAAAATGTAAAAAATAATAATTTTGTTTTTTAATGTGAGAGGAATATATTGAAAATGATGTTAGATTTTAGTGAATTATAACTTTACAGTTTTAATTTAAATATACAAATATTATTATTTTTAACCAAATCGTGCAGTTTGTGTGTTTTCACTATGCATAAAGTAAAATTCCAGTTATATATATATATATATATATATATAAAATATATATATATATATATATATATAAGTTAAAATTATATAACAATTCATCTAGATAACTTCCAGATAATAATATTATATAAAAATATAAACTGTTGATGTAAAGCACAAACATTATAAAAAAATATAAATTATATAAAAGGGATATAAAAATATATTTAGATTTTTATTTGTAAAATTTTACCGCTTACTGCTTTAAGTTCTGCTGATATTAGATATTTTTTATATCTCTAAATCTATGACTCTAAATCAAAATTATCGGAGCTGTGATTTTAAATCAAAATTATCAGAACATTTATTCTAAATAATTTAGGAATATTTATTCTAGATAATTTACTAATTTAGTAAAAATAACACTTGTTTTATCTAAGATGTAGATATATGCGGATAATACATATTTTATATATACATATATATAATATATCTTAATAAAAAATATATCTTAAAAATATATATAATATATCTTAATAAAAATAAGTCGAATAAATTTAATACACACAATAAATTTAGATATATGCATATATAAAATGTTATGAAGAGCACTGCTTTTGACTATTTTACATAAATCTTCATATATTATACATATAATAGTGCACAGTAATATTAAAAAGTTGAATAAAATTTATAGCATTTGCTGAGAAGCATGATAAGAATAGAATTTAAATCTGTCAGTAGCATAGTTATAGATCGTTAAGTATCTCGATTTTATTTATGGATTTTAGGGTGTCAGAAACCCCGACTTTAATGCCTCTTGCAGAAACGAGAAGTGAAATGAGAGGTGAGCCTCGAAAGTAATTATCCACCCTGATTTATCGAAAGAGGGACATTCGAAATCTCTCGCTGTCTCTCATTTAGCCTACAGGGTGTCCTCCGCGAAAATATTCAAGGATCAATAATTTTTCTCGATTTTATTATAATTAATTTACTACAATTTTTAAATAATAATGTTTAATAAATTAATAGAGAAAAGTATCTTTTAGAATAGAAATTCTCTCTTCTCGCGATCTAAATAATTTATTTATGAAAGATTGAACGGAAATATAAGAATAACAGAAATACGTAATTATAATTAAATATCTAAATTCTCAATAAATTTCTAATTGTGCTTCAGTCAAAGAACTCTAATTATAAAATTTTTACGTAGTTGAATAAAATTGATCTCGTCTAAATTGTGTATCATTTTCGACAAAAATTACATTTACGTATATTAATCTACATATTAATTATGATATATAAATAAAATTAATACACTTACAAACACACACATATATATACATATATATATATATATATATATATATATATATATATATATATGGAGGTATTAATATAATAAGTATTATTTGAACATTGCATCAATATTTAGTATTGATTTGGAAAAAATTGCAAAAAAGGATAAAAAGTTATAAAATTACTTTTGATCATTATAATATTAAATGATGTATTCAAATACTGAATACTGCGCGAATAATAATGATAAGTGAAATATTTATTTATTGTGAGATATAAAATATATAAAAATATATTTATTTATTGTGAAATATATAAAATATATAAAAAATATATAAAATATACAATTTATGGTAATTCCAATTTTAACTTTTATACATCATGTATTTTTTGTAATAAAATCAACGTTATTATATTAATTCTAATAAACGCAGTGCTTTTAATTATAAAAATGTAGCACGATATAATAATTAAGAATCAAGATTTTTTAACGAAATCTTCTCGCAATTAGTGAAATATATAAGACGGAGCACTAAAGTGCATTAGGTATTCTGCTCTCATTGAATATCAATAATTTACTTATTGATGTTCGATGAAATTTTGTTAGCGCTTCAATCGATGACGTTTACGCTTATTCAATTTAAAAGAGAGAGAGAAGAGTCGCATAATCACTTTTCGCTTATTTTTTATTTCGAAAGAGTTGCACAATTGAAAAATTTGTGTAAATTTAACAGATATCTCAAACGGTTTACAGAAATTTTTGTGTTAATTATTTAACAATACGGATGTGTTATATAATAAGTGATGACAAATACTGTGTTAATATTTTTTAACACGAAAAAGGTGCAAAGTTCGAGTAATTTAAAATAAATTATGTGTAAAATTGACAGTTTTAATTATTCAGTAAAAATTAACTAAAAAAATGTTAATTTTATATTTTATCATCCCTACTTTTTTATTATAGAATAAAATCAACATTTTTTTCTCTGCAAATTTTAACAGATAAGAGATTTATTTATACATATTCGTAACATCACGAAACTGAATAGACCTGATTCGTTATCGTTACGGATATGTGCAAAATAAAAATAGATACACGTTGTATTATTTTTACATTTCCTTTCAGATGTTTTAATAATTTAACATTTGAGTTCAATTAACGCAACGGCAATATGTTAAATTAACACATAAATGTGTTCAATATTTAACCAAAAATGTTAACTTTTTCCACAAAAGACAAATTTTCTACATATATAACGAAAAAGTTTCTCGCGCAAAATATATTCTCAATTGATTTTAATAATTTAACAGATATACACATGTCCAAACGGTCCACAGAAATTTTTATGTTAATTCAACAATATGAATATGTCAAATAGTAATGGATACTGTTGTTAATATTTTAACACGAAAGAATGCAAACTTCAAATAATTATTGAAATAAATCCAAATACCAAATTGACATCGTTAAATGTTAAAATGATGTATATGCTTGTTATCTGGTAATTTTGTGTAAAATTAATTTAATTTTAATGTAAAAATTAAATTAAATTTTAACAAATAAATTTTATCATTAATAATATAAGACATATTTATTATGTAAAATTAAAAATACATGCATTGTGTTATTTTTACACTTTTTTTAGTTGTTTTAATGATTTAATATTATATTTTATGATATAACAATTAACACACAACAGCAATATATTAAATTAATACATGAATGTGTTAGATATTTAGTACAAAAATTTCAACGGAAAACATTTTTAATAAGAGAAATTTTCCACAAATTTTCCATGTATGTGTTTTATGTATAATATGTTAAATTGTGACATAAATATTGTGTTAATATTTCAACATAATAAATGCAAACTCAAATAAACTTAAAATAAATTTTGTATTAAAATTAACATAATTTTAATGTCGAAATAAACTAAAAATATTAATTTTACATTTTATTATCCCCACTTATATTTATAAAATAAAATTAACATTAACATTTTTCTTTAGCATTTGAGTTTAATTAACGCAACAGCAATATATTAAATTAACACATAAACATATGTTAAATATTGTAAAATGTTAACAGGAATCTTTTTTAATAAGAAAATACAAATTTTCCGTTTTAATTTATATTCTCAATTTATTTTTCTTCACAGTTGAAAAATTTGTTAAAAACAGATATCACATATCTCAAACGGTCCATAAAAATTGTGTTAATTTAACATAATATGGATATGTTAAATCGTGACACGAATATTGTGTTAATATCTTAACATAAAATAAATCCAAACTCAAATAAACTTAAAATAAATTTCGCATTAAATTAACATAATTTTAATGTCAAATAAACTAAAAATGTTAATTTTATATTTTATTATTCCTACTTATATTTATAAAATAAAATTAACATTAATAACATTTTTCTTTAGCATTTGAATTCAATTAACGCAACAGCAATATGTTAAATTAACACATAAATATGTTAAATATTTCAAAACGTTAACAGGGATTTTTTTAAATAAAAAATACAAATTTTTTATTTTAATTTATATTTTCAATTTATTTTTCTTCACAGTTGAAAAATTTGTTGTTAATTTAACATAATATAGATATGTTAAATCGTAACATGAATATCTTAACATAAAATAAATGCAAACTCAAGTAAACTTAAAATAAATTTCGTATCAAATTAACATAATTAAATTTTAATGTCAAATTTAACTAAAAATGTTAATTTTACATTTTATTATCTCCACTTACATTAACATTTTTCTTTAGCATATATTTGATTGTGAGTCCAATTAACGCAACAGCAATATGTTAAATTAACCCATAAAAATGTGAAATATTTCAAAATGTTACCAGCGACCTCTTTAGACAAGAAAACAAATGTTTCACGCGTGTGTCAGTGACGGAAGAAGTTTCTTGGGCAAAATATATTCTCGATTTTTCGTTTTTTTTTCTTGCGCACAGAGAATAATCGGCTTACCGATAATAACGAGACACCCTGTGTATAAAAGGGTGACCGGGTGGGGAGTTTGATAGAAACTCGGAGAGGGAGTTACTTCTGGCTCAGTTTGCTCTTGTACGACCTTGCGCCAAGTCACGCTTCGCATCCCCTTGGTGCTATTCCCCCCGGGAGACACCCTCCACTTCCGACTTCCTTCCTCACCTGGTCTCGATGCTGTCTTCATCGTGATCCGTGTGTCGTTCAAAGAGGAGAGAAAAAAAATTTGTTACACAAAAGTTACGCGCTTTCGTTTTGTTACGCAAAAGGGAACGTAAAAAGAGAGAGTGACGTAAAAAAGAGTGGAAAAGCCGATCCCTCATTTATTGCTCGCTTTTTCCGGAGTAAATCTATAACAATTTGCCGTGGATGGATAATCATGACGACGACGAAAGATCATTATTGGATGCTGTTAGTATCGCTGCTGCTAATATTCGGATGCATTCTAGGTACGTTATTATTTATATGTATTGCATTATATATAGTTTCTACAATTTATTATACATTATTATTACACACTTTTATGTAATTTAGAGAAATCAGGTGTTTGAAAGTGCTAAAGACGGAACATTTGAAAATTCTGCTTTTGCTCGCGTGAAAAATGAACTGGTTTATCATTTCGATTAAGCAAAGGTTGCACGTACAAATTTGTTATTCGCTTTGCCGCTAAAACTCATATCGCGCGTGTGTTTCTTTTCGAATCACCCTGTAGATCGGCGAGCCTGTCCACGTGCACTATTTCTGACCCAGTACTTTTGGTCGCTTAATATAGCGCTTACGTGTTTTGCAATACTATTACTGCATTTACTTGCCAACACACAGTACGTAAATTTTATTTAACGTTTAATATCGAGCGCGATGTTAAAAATAAATATATATCTGATATTTTTCCACAATTATAATCAAATCTAGCATTTTTATTATCGAAAGAAATATATAGAGAGAGATGCATATATGCATATATAGAGGGATGTATTTTATCTATTTGTGTGCACGCAGTTGCGAAATATTTGTGAAATGCGTGGAACAAAATGAGCGCGCGTTCCTGATGATATTTCTGTTGAAATATGCGACTCCCAAATGTTTGCAAATTTATCTTTACCTAGTATGCTTTGAACTTACGAGCAAAGCTTATGACGTACAATTAGAATTCATATATTAATGAAATTATTCGTAATACAAATTTAATGATGATGAGTGGCTTAAGAGCTCAGCCGAGTCTTAATTGTTAACTAGTTGAATCGGAATTTACTATATATATATAATATACTTCCATTTATTCGTGTAAAATTTAATTTAATTTCTTTCGGAAATAATTAAATAAATAAATAAATAGTTTCTCTTGATAAATTATAAATTATTTTCTTTTTTACTATAAAAAAATATCAATTTAACTTATTTAATTCATCTTTGGTTTTTTGTTATATTTTTATTTAAACAATCGCATTTGTGGAAATATATATCGGTTTTTTGTCGATCAGAACTGACCTGTTTTAAGCTCGAAATTTTCCGCGACATGTGCAACACGTGTTGAACAGATCGAATTTGAAGTATATATGCGACTAAAGTATTTATAGAGATCGCGGATGATCCTCTTTAAAATATTTTTTGCAGTATTCCAATATGCGGAACACACAGTGGAATTGTTTCATCGATTACACTGTTTCGGATAAAAAACTAATGTTATGCAAATTTTTCAAGTGGCTACATTTTTGCATGGATTTATCGTGAAAATTTTACACGCGGTGATGAAAAATCGCTGACATTTCGCGAAATGCATTTTTTCTTTCTCTTGTCACTTTTTAACGCGATATGTATAAAGCTAAAACTTTCGGAATTCGATACTTTATAGGGAAGATATATTATTTGCAACAATAATTATTACAATCGCATCTTCGATAATCGAAATTGCAACGAAAGCTCCGAGCTGCGAATCTGCGAATTATCGCTCCTCCCTTTCCAATTTTCCTCCATTCTTATCGGATTGACAATCTTATCTCGCCGGAATTTCTGATTTCTCTGTCTTCAACGATGATTCTCTTGTATACACCGTAAACTTTTCCTTTGTTTCGATTGCTTGCCGCGAGCTTGTTTTCCGCGACATCGCTAACGAGCTTGGTTCCAAATATTGCATAATGAAGTGCACTTTGTTTTCAGCGCGTCGCGAGACGATGAGATTTCTGCAACAGAAGCAAAGATAATTGCAAACATTATAATTATTAAGTTATTCCAAAGGAAAATATATAAAAGTTAATATACAACAAAAATAAGATACTATGAATATAAGGATGGCAAGAAATATTGCGAAAAAGCAAATATCAAATAATAAAATATATTCCAGTAAACAAGTTCTCAAATACATTTTAATAGATAAAAGTGCATATGTGTGTGTGTATGCATATAAATATGCACGTGTATAAAAAATGGATATTGGAAATTTATTCAATTCTATCATTATATTTATTTTTATTTTATTATTATTATTTTATTCTATTATATATTTATTATATTTATTTTATTTTATATGAAAAGTAAAATAGAAATTAATAATAACAAAAATAAACTGACATCGAATGACGTCATTTTGACGTTTAATGACATCAGTTTGCTACTTATTGGGATGTCATGTGAACCCACCTTTATTGCAAAAAACCGACCTTTTTTTCATTTTTAACAGCTAAAGATATTTAATATATCCTTACACTAAAACCTAGAAAGTTACAAAACGTTATCTTTTAACGATTTAAAAATGGCACCTTATTTTATTTCGATATATCAGATATGTGCTTAACCCCATTAATAGGAAGAATAAAGGATTTGGGATTTTGCACGTATAAATTGCATATAACTCAAAGAATCTTTTGTTGAAATTCGAGAACTTAGATTTTCAAAATTCAAATTAACAGATGCATTTTGTGCAATTTTAATTCTATTGTATTATTAAACACATATTGAAGTAGAATAAGGTACCATTTTTAAAAGATAATTATTCTATAACACCTAGATAAATAACTCAGATAGCAAGCGTACGTAATTTTGACATCGACTAACGTGAGAGACGTCAAAATGACGTCATTGTGACGTTTAATGTCAGTTTGCTACTTGGGAAATTTAGTTGTTAAAAATTAAAAAAGGTCAATTTTTTGCAATAATAAAAGCGACTCACTTGACATAGAGAATATATATTACATTACATAATTAAATAGATAAAATAATGGTCTTTTTTGCTTTATAAAAATAAAAGAAATTATTATATAAAATATTTGTAATAAAAATTAATCACAAATATATATTTCTCACACACTACGTTTTATGAACAGTTGAAATTAATAAAAAGGGTAAAAAGGCGAGTAGCGAAAATGCGTGTAAAGCTACATTTGAAGCTGATCTACAAAGGAGGTACAAAGTGGGTCACTTGCTTATTTGGTTGTAAAACTATGTGTATGCATACACACAGGATTCCGTTTCTCTTCCTTTTTCTTTTGAAATTTATACGCCTATTTAAAGCTGCGTGCATTTTCGCTCCTCTCAGGTCTTTTAAAAGTTCAAAGTGCAAATTTCTATGTACTGGAATCATGCAAAAAGCTTGGTCATCAGTCGGAAAAATCAGCTTAAACCAAGTGAAAAATTTCACAGGATGTGCAATTAAGTTGGAATTCGGAATATTATATAAAACGGTCAAATATTTTCGTCGGTCGGTTAAATTTATATGAAAATCTATAGTTCTATATCCCGTTTACATAAAATAGATGGAACTTGATAAAATTAAAAACTCAAATAAAGAGCTATGAAATATTTGAAAAATTCAGATTATATTATGCATATATCAAATATAATATAAATGTTGTATTTTATACACCTTCTATACATATATATATATATATATATATATATATATATAGGGTATCACAACTACCCTAAAACTTAACAGATTCCTGGTATCAGGAGATAGGAGGATTCCAGGTATTTGGAGGTATTTGGAGAGAATTTTTCTTCAATAAAAATTTTATGTGATAAAGAGACCGTTACCCAGACAACACCCTATGTCTAAAAGTGGCGCATAAGACGTATTTAAGAAATTTTATGATATGATATCCAAAATTGTCGCTATCGAGTATTTTTTTATAACTAAACCTTAAATTAAAATTCTATTAAAATAAACTATACCTGAAATTAACTGAAGAATGTGGTTCTGTTAATATTTAATTTTAACAAAGTTTTTATTTTCAACCGCTTAACTCGAAAATTATTGATGCCTTGATCCAGATAGCAAGCGTACGTCATTTTGACGTCGAATGACGTTATTAGACGTCAAAATGACGTTAATGACGTTATTTTGACATTTAATGACATTAGTTTGTTCCTTGGGAACATTTTCGCTAAGGAAAAATCATCCCCAAATGGCATCAGAAATCTAGCACTAATAGGTTTTACGGTAATTCTGGAACACCCTGTATATGTGCAATATATATAAAATGTAAAAGAACATGATGGAAAAGCTTTATGACGTGCAATCTTTATTATTTTTTTTTTATTTTCGAGAAATGCAATTTTAAGACAATCTTTGGAAATAAGTTGATCAATTAGTCGTCGCATGCGAGAATTGGATAATTCCGTTAAGTGGCCTGGTCGATATCGTTTACAGAGTAGAACAAGCGTACTATTGCAGGCAATTGCAGTTGCATTACAGAGAGTAGAGAATCCGCTACAATTAACGTGATTATTTAACGGCGCTCTCGTTGTGTACCCGCAATGTTTATTCGCTATTCGCTCGTTACCGGTGTTGTGTGCATTTCTCTATACACATGTCCATGTGTAATACTAAGGGGGTCGGATTTACCCCATGGTTATACACCGCGTAGTCCGGCCTCTGTGTGTTGACCAGGCAAAACTGCGCGCGTACAGGAAATGCAAAACCATATTATCGTATTATTACAGTAATGACGACATTCGTATCACATTTATCCCCATTTATCGCAACTACTATACAATGTTAATTATAATTAAATATTGATTATGCAACAATAATTAGTTTTAGCATTATTATTCTCTTTGTAAATCATTTTCTTAATATCTATGTGCTTCGAAAATTATATATTTCGAGAAATCCTTAGACAAGCGAGTCTCCCCAAGAAACAAACTGTTACTCGACATCAATATGACGTCTAATGACGTCAGTTTGTTACTTGGGAAGACTCTCTTGTCCAAAAATTAAAAAATTACAGCAATAATTAGTTTCATCATTATTATTCTCTTTGTAAATCATTTTCTTAATATCCCAAGTAGCAAACTGACGTCATTAACATCAAAATGGCATTATTTTGACGTCTTATGACGTTTAATGACGTCAGCTTGCTACCTGGGTTGTTTCGAAAATAATATATATTTTTAAAAATCCTTGGACAAGAGAGTCTCGCTCGAGACTCGTGTCTAAGGAAGAAAAATGACGTCTAATGACGTCAATATGACGTTTATTTGCCACCTGGGTCTCTTTCTCGACATCAACGCGAACGAGAATTTAACTAGAAGATAAAATAAAGTGTCGGGAAAAGGTGTAAAATAAATCGCTTTTCGATATCCTTTATCGCAGAATCCCAACAACTCGTCATCAAGAGCATCAGTGTTCCCTCCGCCGTGAAGGTCGGCGACGTCAATCACGTGATCCTCGACTGCGACTACGCTCTGGAGAACACCTCGAGTCAAGGGTTAGTGGTCAAGTGGTTCTTCAACGACGACCGATTGGTCTACCAGTGGATTCACGGCAGGGAGCCCTTAGCTGACGAGTCGGCTAGGAAATATATCGATCTGACATATAAGGCGAGCGATGATCCTTACACAGAGTATCGAGCCATGAAGCTGGATAAGCCGGGGATCGATCTAACCGGCGATTACACGTGCGTGATATCGACGTTTGAGGACGAGAAGGCCGCTAACGCTTCCATGGTAATTTACTGTGAGTATTGTTTTTTTTTTTATTTATTTATTTGCACGTATTTTGTATGGACGTATCGCATGTATTTGTATTATTTTTACAATAAAATAATTTATTCATTTATAAAAGAAATACACTGCATATGTATATCATGTTTTGCAATAAATATATATAATATTCCAGGTAACAAACTGACGTGCTAGTAAAATTTGGTTTACAGCATTATTTTCAGCAAAAATCAAAACCAAAAATCTATAAACAACACTTTGACTGCTTCAAAATAACTTTTAGCTGTATAACGTCATTTGTTTAATGATGTCTGTTTGTTAAAGTACAAATTTGATCATTACACTAGCTTACAGCTAAAAGTTATTTTGAAGCAGCCAAAGTGTTATTTATAGATTTTGCTGAAAATATAATGCTACAAACCAAATGTTACTAGCACGTCAAAATAAAATATAATTGAAGTACTCAAAAATAACTTTCTTGCGATTTAAAATCAGTCTGATTAAATATAATGAATATATGAAAAATTAAAAGCTAGGAACTTTTTTTACATAGAGATGCTCCTGAAGAAAAAAGGTTTATGAAAAAAAAAATTATTTTTCCAAAATTTTGATTTTATCATTATTCGTCCTCCTTTAAATCATACAATATTTGTCTAAAACATTTTTTCGAAAATATATAATATTATACGACTTTATCATCATAAGCGGAATATTTACTATCTTAACAAAATTTTATATTTAAATTCTTCTTAATATGATTAAAAAGTAAGATATCACAAAATAAAAATGCATTTTATAGAGAATGAATAATATTCATGACATCTGATCAGAATTTCCATGTAACGTTAATCCTTTTCACAAAAAAAAAAGGTTTCAAATATCACAAAAAAAAGTCATTTTTCGCATACTAAACCTTAATTATTTGGAAAATCTAACGTGCTACTAAAAATAGGCTTGCAACATAATTTTTCAGCATCCAAAAATCTATAAGAAATACTTTGTCAGATTTAAAGAATAATAAAACAAAATTTTTTTTGTAAACTATTAGTATAATTTACTCATTTATAAAATACAGTAACGCATATGTAAATCATATGCCTTGTTATATAGATATATATAATATATTTCGCGGAAACAATTTTAATTAAATTTTAGTCGTAAAATTTTTAATCGTGCATTATTAAAAATGGAAATTGAAATTATTACATAGATTGAATGGAGGTTTCTATTTTTTTAACTTACATTTTTCCCAATTATTATTCTCAATATTATTTATAATGCACTATATTGAATTTAATTACTTTTCTCTCTTCTCCCCCCCTCTCCCCCCACAATTATACTTTGATGGTATTAAAATTCCAACTTATAATGTACAAACGAAATTATCAAAATGTATATGTAGAATTCATATTGGAATTTTAATTGTTTTAATATTATTACGCTTTAACATTATTTCACATGGGATTATATTATTGCGCTTTTGATAATCTTTTTATCTATATATCGTAAAACGTTGATCTCAAAGTATCTCGCCCCGGACGATACTTCTCCATTTATCTCTGTCTTAAGCAGAGGCATTCTCCACTTTCCTCTAGCCTACTCTTTACACATTCTCCACGACTCCATCAATCCACTTTAACTCCCCTTTTCCCCTTTCATTCTTCCTTTATTCCATCTTTTCCGAGTATATGTTTTTAGTTATTTTATTTTGTTTCGAGTTCTCATTTTAATTCGCAATTTAGTTTAGCTGTATAGATAATCACATTTTACGCGCGCGCGCACATAATTTATTACTATTATGCATTACACCATATTATTATTATAATATAATATAATTATGCTTCTACACTTTAACGCGATAAAATAACTGTATCATATATACATATATATATTTGAAATATTCCAAGTAGCAAATTGACGTCATTTTGACGTCATTGGACGTTTAGTGACGTCAATTTGCTACTTGGGGAGACTCTTTTTTTTTGTCTAAGGATGAAAAAATGACAGCAATAATTTGTTTCATCATTATTATTCTTTTTCTTAAATCATTTTCATCTTAATATCTCTTAATAGCAAATTAACATTGCATTAACGTCAAAATGATATTATTTTGACGTTTAATGACGTCAGTTTGCTGTTTGGGATATATAATATATAACAAAAATGTAGGGCAGGATTGAAAAAATCGCCGATTTAAAAAATCAGACGGCTTTATTTCTCTCTAAATGCCCGTTTTTCAATTCACGTTGTAGCGTAAATTTTCTTTGGTGCCGTTCCACTTTTATGCGTTCGCAAATCCTTCAATTTACGCCGGGCGCTTTTTATTTACGTGGTTCCTGTTTTACGCTCAGGTTTCAATTTACGCGGTAAAGCGGAGTATGTACTTTCTTTTCCACACCCTTTTTAGAGCAAACGCTTTAACGCTGTGCTCGCACATTTTTTTTTTTTTTTTTTTCTCCGCCATAGTTTATTAAATACATTACTTCTGCGACATTTGTGTTAATATTTGTTTATTATTTTTTTGCAACTCATTTTTTTGCTGTTTATAGTTCCTACAATTTATGTTAAATTAATTTATATATAATTATTAATTAATATACATTATTTATGTATATAAATACATTATATTTATTTATTATCATATGAATCATTATTATATTATTTAATTAATTATTATATAAATACATTTATTAAAGTTATTTAAGTATTGAATAATATTAAATGTATTAATAATAAATAATAATAAATTATTAAATTATTAATTTATATATAATTATTAATATATATGTATATATGTGTGTGTATGTACAAAAATATATACTTATATTAATCTACTTAGATTATATACAAATAATTTATATATATATATATATATATATATATATATATATACGAGTCATTTAAATTTTATAAAATATTCACAGCTCATAACATTTTCATATTTCAAAAATATACGTTTTCAAACTAAAACATTGCTGATTTAAATGAGTTTTTTATTAAATGTGTAAAAAGAGATTAATTTCAATAAATTAATGAAATATTCAATTGTACGTTAAATATTCTGTATGTGAAGAAAAAAATAATAAAAAAAATACAGTGTAATATATAACTTGTATAATAATATTTATAATTAATATAATAATTAAATTATTTAATATAATAATTAAATAATATATAAAAAGTAATAGTATATAATAAAATAGTAATGTTACATCAAAAATTATAGCAATATAATGTGATTTGTCAACGTTAAATATGATCTTTGTTATAGCAACGGAGGAAAAGTTCAAATTTCAATATCAACGAAAGAGTATAGATGACAAAGATGGGTTGGAAGCGACATGTATGGCTGAAGGTGTTTATCCTCAGCCAATTCTCGATATTTCAGTCAAGTAAGTATTTTTACAAAGATAAAAGATTTTCAAATTATCGATGTTTCAAAGATTTACGTTATAATCCCTTATAGAAATTTATCATTAGTAACGCCAATTAATCACTTATTTCGAGTACTTAAAATACTGATATACAATAATTTAAGTACTCGAAATAAGTGATAAATTGGCGTTACTAGTGATATATTTCTATAAGGGATTGATTTGCACATTATTTTAATTATGCATAGCAGGTAGCAGCTAAATATCATATGGCATCATTTTGACGTTATAATGACGTTAGTTTGCTACTTGGAACATTATTTTTGTTTAACGTGTCTTATTCCAACTTTTATTTAAAAATTCAAAATTTATAAATACTTCTTTTAAATACTTTTTTCTAATTATAAAAACTAAATGACATTTATCACACTTTATAATTTCGACTAAATCTGTCTCTTTAAATTTTGTTAATTTACAATTTTTTAATTTATTAAATTATGCTTTAATTTCTAGGAAAAAACCTTTTGTTAGAAATGTGTAAGGTAAAAATGTTTATCCTTACAAAAAGGAAAAGATTCTTGTAACAAAATTTATTATTGTATAATAATGGATAATATTTACAGGGATCTTCCAGAGAAACAAACTTCAAGACCCACAGTAACACTTCGTGAAGATGGATTGTATAACATCTTATCACGAGTAGATTTGCTAGACGAGGAACTACCAGAAGCTGCAGAACTTAGATGTACTCTCGACATCCCGAGAGCAAACTACACCGTGTCTCGAAAATCCATATACTATTCCAGTTAGTTGTGTATTTTTTATACGCTTTAAATACTTCTACTAACACACTGCCGATTTATGTTGATATTTTTTCTTACATAGTACATGCATAGTAATCGAATCTTTTTTTCTAATTTCTATTCCCTAACAGCATACATATCCTAAAGACATTCAGAGAACATTCAAAGGATATCCTCTGGATATCCTCTGAATATCCTATGAATATCTTTCGGATATTTTGTTTGCTATTAGGGATGATTGGACCATTATCTAATAAATCGCCAAGTATAACAAATATATATGTTAGTTTGACGTCTAATGGCGTCATTAGACGTCCAATTATGTCATAGACGTCAAAATGGCGTTATTTTTACGTTTAATGGCGTCATTTTGATGTTTAATGACGTGAATTTGCTATACTTGGGGCTCTACGCCTTAGGTAGAAATGTCTATGCTTGGTTTTGTGTTGTACAGGAACGGCTACTACTACTTCATCTGTTACAACGATTCCGCAGCATAAAATGGATATCCAGGACCTATACAGCTCCGGTAATGGTGGTGGTAAGATTAATCGTAAATTTTGTTAAAAATATTACGTTCGGCACCAAAAAAATCATCACCATTAACCAGTACTTTTTGATCGAAGATTTTTAGAATTTTTCGAACCTGTGTATTCATTTCATGCTCGCTTAAATTTGCCACAAATTTGCCCCAAGCACTTCAAAGCACCCAATCGATTCTTCTATTTATTTATCTATTGTTGATAGCATGCAAGCATGGACTTTTTTTACAGTCATCATTTTATAGTTTCTTTTGTTCTCATTTTTTAGTTTTTGAATTACTATATATATATATTATTATTGTTATTAAAAATCGAAGTATTTTCTCTTATTTATACGTTTATTTTTTGTGTAAATGGTATGATATAATACATTGCAGAATTGATGACAAAACTCAGTTATTTACATTTTATTCTATTTTTATTCTTCTTGTTATTAAAGATCGAAGTATTTTCTCTTTTTATACGTTGCTTATTATCTTTTGCGTAAATACGACACTGATCTTATTAGTTTATTTATTTCTTAATATAATATGTTGCAGAATTATGACAGAACTCAATTATTTACATTATATTCTATTTTTTATTTTATTATTTTATTCTTGTTATTAAAGATCAAAATAGGTACTTTATTTTCTCTTTTATTTTTTCTTGTTATTAAAAATCGAAATATTTTCTCTTATATATATTTCTTATAATCTCTTGCGTAAATATAAATATGACACCTTTATTAATTTTTCTATTTATATCAACAATATAAAATACATTGCAGAATTTATGACAGAACTCAAGAAATTATTCACATTTTATTCTATTTTTGATCCCACTACTTATTCTATTTTTTCTTCTTCTCTTGGCGTTAATAATATTGTGTGGATAATATCATGTATCATTCAATAAAAGTTAAAATAGACGAAAGTAAACACAAGTTGACTTTTATTAGGACATTGACATTTTTATATGGCATTTGTAATTTCTTTTTTCTCGGTTTTTATTATTTGAGACTTCTAGAAATTCTTGAATTATTACTTATTCTTATCAGGGTTGGGTAAATTAATGATTTTTTAAAATTAACAATAAGTTAAAGTTAAAGTTAATTGCTTATAAAATTAATTTAGTTAAGTTAAAAGTTGCATAAACAAAAAATTAACTCAGATAAAGTTAAGATTAAATTAATTAAAGTTAAATCAAAAATTAATTTTTAAAAACATTATTTATATTAAATTAGAATTTTGTTTGTTAATTCTTTCAAAATTTATAATAACAAATTTTTATATAGAAGTATATTTTTGTAATTACAATCGATGACAAATGAATACAAGAATTAATAATATTTTAATTTGAAAATAATACATTTATACCTTATAAAAAAAACAATAATGGTCTATGCCCGTTTTTTCATGTTAAAAGAATATTTTTGGATATAAATTTAAACTAATATTTCAAACATATGTATCAAATATTTAAGAAAATATTATCTGAGCGTTAAAGAACATTTTTTTAATATTTTTAAAAGTTTTTTAAAATATTCTAAAAAATATCACAAACAATTTTTAAATATTCCTAAAACCAAATAAACTAAACTATATGTTAAAAGTTATTAACTTTTTAACAATTTTTTTTACTTTTAACTTATTAACTAGTTTTATTACCCAATCCTGCAAATCATCGATCTGATTATAAATTAATGCCGTAATTAATCTGAAAAATCTTAAAGATTAATTTTTAAAAGAAAGGATATATTATATGAAATATAACATTGTTAATAGGTTTTTTATGAAAACTTAAAAAATTCAACATCTCGAGAAACTCCGAGAATCAATCGAGATTTTTATAATATTTTATAATATTTTTATAATATTTTAAATTTTAAAAGAATATATATATATATATATATATATATATAATATTTTTCCTCAAAAGAGCCCCAAGAAGAACAATTTCTCTTACTCATTACAAATTAACAGGGTTGGGTTAGTTAATGATTGTTTTAAACTAAGTTAAGTTAAAAGTTAATTATACTTATAAAATTAATTTAGTTAAGTTGAAAATTGCATGAACAAAAAATTTACTCAAATTAAAGAAAAGTTAAGATTAAATTAACTAAAGTTAAATCTAAAGTTAATTTTTAAAAACATATTTATATTAAATTAAAATTTTGTTTGTTAATAAGTCTTTTAAAATTTATAATAACAAATAACAAAGAAATTTTGATTTTTATATAGAAATATATTTTTTGTACAAAGACATCGAATAATCGATATTAATATTTTATGGCTGTTGCCATTATTTGTTTGCGTTTAATTATTTTAAGCAGACGAAAAATCAGGCAATTTATTTTTAATCATTAATTTCTCTGTTAATAATTAATTACTCATTTATTTGTAAATTGTTAAATTATATGTGCATATTTTTTTTCGTTATTATTTGCACTTTTCTTGCATTATTTCATTCTTTTTATTTTAAAATTGTACTATGTCATTTTCCTTATAAATCTATGCTAAAAAGTACAATTTTTTGAGTCAATTGTTTTCAAAACAAGACGGTAAAAAATTCCAAAAAATTCACATAATTCTATATTACATTGCAGAACAATATATTAAAATTACCTGAGGCTGCATTTTTTTAATTACCTGCACCACTTTAAAAATAATATATTTATAACTTAATGAAAAAAACAATAATGGTATTCAGAGATAAAAAAAAATTAACTTAGACAAAAAGTTAATAAGTTTAAGTTGTTAACTTTTTAACTTTTTTTCACTTCTAACTAATTATAACTATAGTTGCCCAACCCTGCTTCTTATTATAATGAAAATCGAAGTATTTCTTCTTATACGTATATTTCTTATCATCTCTTGCGTAGAGAAATATGACACTGATGAGCTAGCTCTCATTAATTTTTCTATTTGATATCAATAATACGTTTGCAGAGAATTTATAACGGTTTCCAATTAATTATTCCACACCGGTCTATCATATTTTCTTCTTCCCTTCTTGACACTAATATTACTCGGGTATATCATGTATTATCCAATGAAAGTCAAAACGGGCGAAAGCCCATTAGTATTATACCTTTCAGCGGAGAATTATCCTCGCGCAATATTAGCATCCCTCATATACATATACTAATGTCTATGCATTAATGCATATGCATTCCGCTCAAGTGGCTTTCATTATGGTTATGCATATTTATGAAACTTACCCGCGGCCGTTGTAACGCGCTCAATTATTGGCCCCATTAATTTTACAAAAATGCTCAAACGTGGAAAACATTTTTCATTATATTATAATATATGTGATACATTTTGGAAAAAGTAGAAAGAAAAAGAAAGAGGGGGGAAGAAACGGAAGCATTAATATATATTTGACGTTACTATTATAGATAACGTATATACAATATATAGTAGCATTTCATTGTCATTTTCGATTTGTCACTTAACAAAGAGACAAAAATAAATATATAATAATAAATATATAATAATTTATATTTATAAAATTAATATAATAGTGAAACAAAAGAGATTTTATTTTGCTCTATTTTGTGTTGTAGCAATTTTTCAATAGTTTTGTTCATTATTGTGCAATATTGCAGTCCGTATTATTTCTGCTTTTTTTCTCAACTTTTTTTAATTGTAATCAATCTAATTTTTATATATTATATGTATATATATTTTAAAATAATTTATTGTATTGCTCTCTGTTTTTTTCTTAAAAAATATATATAATTAAAGACGCATATTCAAAGACAAACATATTAATCCTCTAACCAGTACTAACGAAAAATGGTTTATTAATTTGACTGACACAATAATTCCTACCAATGTCACTAATCTATTACAATTTGGAAGTAAATTCGGCCTGCCGTTTAAGAATGACAAAAAGTTGGCCATACACGAGTTTATCAAAGATATAGAAGGGAATTCCACTAGTTCTAACATGAAAAATTTAAATACATTACGTAACAATCTGGTTCCACAACTTTCCTATTTTTTACACGGCAAAACTAAGTTTAATTCAACTCATGAAGATTTGATTAGTATGCATAGATATACAAGGAGGTTTTGCCATGATAATCCGGATATTCTTTTTACAAGGGCTGATAAGGGCAACGTAACAGTCGCGATGACAAAAGAATATTACACGAATAAGATGGAAGGTTTACTTGAAGACAATAACACCTATTCTATCATAAAAAAGAACCCATCCTCCAAAATAGAAAAGGAACTAAACGATATTCTTAAGAAATGGCAAAAAAAAGAGTACATTTCTAATAAAGAATATTACTCACTACGTTCCAGCGACTCCCTTCTTCCAAAATGTTATGGTCTCCCAAAAATACACAAGGAGAATACTCCATTTAGGTTAATTGTGTCATCGATTAATACCACGCTTTACTCGATAGCCACATTTTTACATAAAATCATTTCAAATAGTATTCCTACGGGAAAAAGTAATGTAAATAATAGTTTTGAACTTTACAGCAAGCTAGCGGGTAGGAAAATTGGTGCGGAAGATATTCTAATATCATTAGACGTGGTTTCACTATTTACTAACATTCCGATAGATCTTGCAATAGAAAGTGTGAGCAATAGATGGAATTATATCAATACACATACATTAATTCCAAAAAATGAATTCATTTCCATGGTTAAATTTATATTGTCGTCAACATACTTCACATTCAATGACATTGTATACAAGCAAGTTTATGGCACACCTATGGGTTCCCCGTTGTCGCCAATAATTGCTAATATTGTTATGCAAGATCTTGAAGAATCAATAATTAATGAATTGGACATTGGTATTGGAATATATTATAGATATGTAGACGACATTATTATGGTGGCACCAAAGAATAAAATTGATAGTGTACTGAATAAGTTTAATAGTTACAATCAACGACTACAATTTACGATTGAATACGAAATTAATAGAAGCATAAATTTTCTAGATTTAAACATTAAAATAATAAATAACGTCATACACTTAGATTGGTTTCAAAAAAAGACATGTTCAGGTAGAGTACTATCTTTTTTATCGAGTCACCCTATGTGCCATAAAATAGGAGTAATTTATAATCTTATTAATAGGGCATTGTTATTATCTCATCCCATATATCATAAGAAAAATTTAGAACTGTGTATTAAAATATTATTGGACAACGGTTACCCTATTCATTTGATCTTTAAAGAAATAAATAAGAGAATAAGAGTTTTAAACAATGGACAGTTTAACAACAATAGAAAAAAAGAAATTGCAGAAGATAATAGCAAGAAAAAATTTTTGTCATTCCATACATTAATAACATTTCTGAGACAATAGCATCGACAATAAAAAAATCAGATTTCAGAGTAGGATACCGTTGTCTAAATAATCTTAACAAATTATTAAAGTCCACAAGGACAAAAACGTGCATAACAATAATAATAATGTTGTCTACAAAATTAATTGTAAGGATTGTGAAGCTTCGTATGTTGGGCAAACCAAAAGAAAATTACGCACTAGACTAAAAGAGCATATGAATAATATTAAATTTGATTCCTCCAAGCATTCTGTGGTCTCTGAACATATTATAAATAAAAAACATGCTTTTGATTGGGATAACGTTAAAATACTTGATATTGAATCTAATTATTATAAAAGACTTATCTCGGAAATGATACACATCAAGGAACAAAGGCATGGTATAAATAATAACACAGACACCGAATTGCTTAACAACGCGTATTTCGACATTCTAGAAGAAATATCGATTTTTTAGACTTATGTAAATGTTTATTTTGTGAGATCTGACACCTATTTATTCGACTTTTTAAAAGACTAGACAACAGTCAAGTACTAACAATAAGGCCAACAACAATTAGAAGCATCGTCATCTCAAGTTATTCGGAACAATTTGTAAGCATAAAGGTTCAATATTTTAGTATTTAGTTTAATTTGTAATTTTTAATTTTTTTACATACACATTAGTGGAATCCTATTTTACAATTGAATAAATTCTCTAAATTCAGTTAACAAATATCAAATAATTTGGAGAAGATGGACATAATCATTGCCAGATCGAGGGACTTTCGTCAAATAACGATAAGTGGTTCGTTTGGAGCAATGTATAAGTGTCACTCCGAGTTTTTATTAATAATTCTAAAATATTTTATGAATAACCGGACGAATCATTCTGCTTCTAATTGGGTTCTTACTTTGTTGAACTATTTTAATGGTTTCAATTCATTGTAAATATATTTTGCGTTTTAACTATGACTTAACTATATAACTTATATTGACTATGTATTGCGGATTTTTTTATTAGAACTTTATGTATGTATTTATTTATTATGGGTATTTATTATCATTATTTTTTTGCGCACTGAAGAGGAGCAAGTAGAGCTCGAAACGTTTGTGTAATTATTATGTCAAATTAAGAATTTTCTTCTAAATAATAAAATAATTTCGTATTGCTCGTTACACATGGCCTTAATTTAATAATTTATCATTGTATATATATAATTAATTTCTGACAATAATTATATATATGTATATATATTTATATATATGTAAATTTTATATTTTAATACAAAATTATTTTAAAATGGATATATTATATACATATATATTAGAATTTTTTTACTTGAAATAAAATATATATATATATATATATATATATATATAGGTATGATGTATGTTAAAATTTTATAGGTTAATACAAAATTATTAAAAAAAAATATAAGATAGATATATATATATATATATATATATACATATAAATATATGTATATATGTATGTATAAAATTTATATTTTTAATACAAAATTATTTTAAAATATATATATATATATTATATACATATACATAAGAATATTTTTTGACTTGAAATAATATATATTTTAATCTAATTGTAGGCAACTTCGTCGACTGCACATCGATCAATGTTATCCTGTTACTGATACATTCGGCTATTCTTATTCTGTTTATTTAATAATGCAATCGATAGGTAAGTTTAAATCGACATTGGACTCAATACTTCGACTTCCAGGAAATAACGATATTCCAAATTTTGTAATTTATTTGCTCATCTAAACCGCGCTCTAAAATATTTTATTGTAATGTATATAAAATATTCTAGTCATAACTTTGAAAAATAGTATGTGTTATTGAAAAATATCTTTTTTCCACATAGTTTTTCAAAATTGAAAAAAAATGTTTAAGATAGACGTGGTTTTTCTCTTATTTAAAATACATAAATTTTTAAATTTGAATATTTTTATTTTTATTATTTGTATAACTTTCAAAGTGTGTGATTACGAAAATAAAAAAATAGGACAAGAATTAATTTAAAAGAAGGTAACTGCAAAATAATATTTAAAATTCGGTTAAATTAATATTCTTTAATTAAGAATATTATTTATAAAAAAGGAAGAAAGGAAAAAATCTCTTCCACAAATGTATAAAACATCTTGTTATACGATTTTTTTTCGCCTCACATATTTCAAAATAAAATTAAAATTGATATTGATTTAAAAAAATCAATACATCAATAATTAACAAAAAATCAATAATCATGAACATTGTAAAAAACTGATTGTTGGCCTAAGCTTGTATAAAATTTCTGAGGCGAAATGAAAAACCAAATATGAAACATATTAAAAGAGATCTAATGTAAAATATAAAAAAAAAATATATATATATATATATATATATATATAATAAATGATTGTGCATATTTAATCATTTTTTGTATATTGTAAAAATAATCTATAAAGTAAAGATCGATTCGTTTTCTTAAAGGAATTAAAATAAAGATCTTTGGACCAGCGCAAGAAATGCGAGAAATATTCATATTGATGTAATATTTAAAGTACATCACTTGTAGTATTTTAGAATTCACTCTCAACGATAGAATCTATTTCAATTTTTGCTGGAATCTTCTTCAGCCAATTATTGACCGTAATCAACAGTGTAGTAATAATCAATAAAGGGTAAAGGATGAGAGACTCGGGTCGAAATAAATGATTCTGCACTGTTGGAGCAAATTCCAAAAATACTACAAATAGCGAATTTTAAGTGTATCAACATGGACAATTATTGTTATTATATTATATATCTGCCTCGTACGAGTACCGCGACTCGTAATTTGAATATCCTTTGCATTTAAAGAGAAAATGAATTTTTTAAAATCTAATTTATAAAGCTCCTGGCTCTTTTTACTGCAGTCGTATTGATTCGTGACGTTTCGTCTCAGGCAAGAAATCAATCTTCGAAGTGAATCTCTTTCTTTGCAAAGTAAATTAGTTTTTTTCGTGTTATTGTACCATTTATTCTTTCTCTGTCTCATACGCACATTTCATAGTGTAGATTTTGTGACATAAATCTTTTTTTGATTGGTAAAATTAATATATAATTATCAAAAATTACAAAAATCTTAATTAATTATTATAGAGATATTTTCGCGGAATTTATATCATTTAATGTCATTTTGATGTCAAATTACATCATTAGACATTAAATGTCGTCATTTTAACATTTATAATGACATCAGGTTTGGCATATTTTTAATATATGTTAATTAATCAATATTATATTAATGTGTGAACAATGAGAAAATAGGGAAAAACTAATTTAATTTTATGCTTAAAATGTGGGAAAAGATTACATAATTTCTAATGTAAATATTTTTCATATAACTGCAATAAGAAAACAGGAGACTTAAAAAATATAAAAGAATATATAGTAGTCTATCTTTACATACACATTACACATACATACATACATACATACACAAATACATACACACATACACACATATATAATATATAAATATATATATATAGACTGTATGTCATTTTTATATTTTATATTAAAATATACCAAAGAACGCTTTTTGTCACAATAATATACATACAGGTATATATAATAATGAGTAAATATATATATAAGATTTAAAAAATAACTGAAAAAATATAAAAAAATAAATAAGAAATGTGCGCATATATATTATGTGTGTATGTTTGAATAAATTATTCCTAATATAAAATATAAAAATATAAATTATTTCTCAGTTTATTTTTATATTAATATTAGAGAACTATTAAGAGTGTGCGTAAAATGGAATGTAATACATTTGTTATTATAATTTTATAATTGTTAATTGACGATCAATTGTATATAAGAACTTGGAAGACAATTTTATCGTATAAACATATCTGAAAATTCTGTAACTTTATAAGTCATATTTTTACAAATGATGTAAATAACATATTGAATTTATTGTATTCAAATGTGCATATATACAAGCAATCGAATAATATTGCCAAAATAATAATAATATTTAATAGTTATTATTTTCTTCCCCTTTCCCTCCCCATCTCCAATTCCTGTCTACTAATAAATTAAGAAATTAGTTAAAACTGTCTCAATTGAAATAATCTAGATTAAAAAAAATTAATAATTTGAATAAAAATATAAATATATTTTATTCCATATAAAAAGAGCAAACATACATTTTCAAGAACAAAAGAATATAAAAAAATACAGCTCTCATTCATATAAATTAGTTTGTTTTTTCCTTAAATATAGTATCTTTAAATTCTTCAAAACCATTTTTTTTTTGAATTTTTAATTTTAAACAAGTTGCATATTTTATATAAAATATTTAAAGCCAGGTATCCACCAACCGCGCAAAACGTTTGCAAACGTTGTTTGTAAACATTACGAACGCCTGCAAATTTTATTATATAATTATTATATATTATTATTATTATTGTTATATTATATTATTAATATATTATTATTGGTTTTGCAAGCGTTCGTGACGTTCACAAACGTCCGCAAACGTTTTGCGCGGTGGATACCTAGCTTAAGATTAAAATTATTTATATATCACATTTCTTTGCTAAGAATCAAATTATTTATAAATCATTTTTAGCATAATTGTTGTCTAAAGTATTACAAGCAATTTAATATCTCCTTACGATTACATCTAATTATTATTGAATCAGATATTTCAATTCATAAATTTATATAGAGAAAATATTATAGATTTGCGTAGAAAAATTTGTGGTGCGTATGAAAAGGTTCATGCAAAATAAATGAAGTTTTTGAGCTCCTGCTGTAATCCAATTATATGCACTATATATAGGGTGTCCCATTGGGTGTGTCTTTCACAATTTCAGGCAGCGATGGCAAAAAATGTTTCAAAAATTATTGGATTTATTTCATTGATGATAACCTTGATCTTGTTGGGGTCAAATTTGAAGGTCATCTAAAATCAAAATAATATATTCTTGCGGCTCATCTCAAGAGCTTCCAAAACATATATATAATAATAAAATCCCAGGTAGTAAGCATACGTCATTTTGAGATCGATGACGTCATTAAATGTCAAAATAAGGGACCTTTTCATGCTGAGTTGGAGCAACTTTAATTATTAATGAAATTATGAGGCTGAATAAAAAAAAACTTACAAAAAAAAGCGTTTTGTTTAGTTTCAATAATACATTCATGGATTTTATGAAGCTATATTTCCTACACTTTCTTTGCATGGAGACAAATTTCAAATTATTTACGTATGACAACAATTCAATTGAAGAACTGCTGTGTTTAGTTAGTCCTCTTATTTCTAAGCAGAATGCAATAAGAGAGCCTATATACCTACTGCAGCACGATATAGATTACAAAGCAATTTTAATTTATTACTTTTGATTTTCTAAATCGTATACAATAAATTGTATAAAATAAATGATCTGATAAAAATAATGATTCCATGTACGCCTGGTTGTAGCCTTCAACACATTTATGTCCTTCAATTTTTTCGCAAATCTCCTCACACATTCCACAAGTGTATACAATGTGAATTTGCTAAATATGTGGAAAAAATATTATATATATATCATCAATTCTTCTATTTTTTCATTACAAACAGCATAATTGGAGGTTAAATTGATATTAATGTAATTTAATATTTAATAGATTTTTATCTTGTGAGAATCTATTTTGCTCTTTTCAAACACCGGAATCAACTTCCACTTTATTTATTTACATGATTTGACTGAAACGAGCGTCGAGCGTCAAAGCTGAACACAGTTGAGCCACAGATTAATAGACAGATCGCCAAAGGCCTGCCTAAAGAAGAGACCGCCATCTTCGTGCGATAGACTTTGCCCCTTACCGACACACTTTGCCCCTGGTTCGAGTCCGTGCTAAATTTCGTAGACTTGAACCAAAAGACTTTGCCCCTGGTTCGAGTCCGTGCTAAATTTCGTAGACTCGACCAAAAGACTTTGCCCCTGGTGCAAGTCCAGGCTAAATTCGTTTGACATTACCAACAGACTTTGCCCCTGGTGCGAATCCAGGCTAATTGATCATGAGACCAATTTGAGAGATTTGGCCCCCGTTGTGTGTGTGTGTGTGTGTGTGTGTGTGTGTGTGAGAGAGAGAGAGAGAGAGAGAGAGAGAGAATATTTTACATATATGCATATATATATATAAAATTTATTAAATATAAAAAATATATTTTTTACACATAAAATGTTTTTTTATTGAAATAATCACGATTTTAAATGTGATATAACACAGTGTTCAAAAATTTTTTAATTAAATTTTTTAATTAAATTTTATTAAAGAAAATTACTTGAAATTTTTTACATTAAGAATTTAAAGGCTCCTTATTCTCTTGTAGAAATTTATCACTACGCCAATTAATCACTTATTTTGAGTATTTAAAATACTATAATATACAGTAATTTAAGTATTCGAAATAAAAGTGATTAATTACTCGAAATAAGTGATAAATTGGCGTTACTAGTAATAAATTTCTATAAGGGTTGAAATAAAGTATAAAAGATAAATAGGCTATATGTGAGCCGTATGCGAAATGTGAGATGTAAGACGCATATTGAAATTTAATTTTTCGATATAACTTTCAAAAATGTACACGAGGTACAAAAAATTAGCTTGGACATTTGTAAGACTTAAAATTGGGATTAATTCTCAATTCTATTAATTAAATTTCGATATAACACACCTTACATCCGCGCACGGCTCACATATAGCCCATTTATTAGTGCAATTTTTAAGTTCCTTATTTTTCAAAGTTCACCTTTTT